AAATTAAACTTTGTTTGATTTTAACAAAAATTGAATATATGGGGTTCTTTGATATGCTGAATCTAACCATGTATTTTGATTTTGGACATTGGACCATAATAGGTAAATTAAAAAAATTCAAGTTCTTAGACCACATTCTTTCTGTGTCAGAAACCTATGCTGTGTCAAATATTTAATAACAATCCAAATTCAGAGCTGTATCAAGCTTGAATGTTGTGTCCATACTTGCCCCAACTGTTCAGGGTTCGACCTCTGCGGTCGTATCAAGCTGCGCCCCAGCGAAGCATTTTATTGGTTATATTTCTGTAATCCATGGTACTTAATTGTAATTTTCCAGCAGTTGTAATGAATGGGTGTAAACAATTATAGGATTTCATTGAATTTCTATACACCCGCAAAATAATGGTTTTGTATATGGAATCTTGTCTTTATAAAAAAGAAGATGTGGTATGATTGCCAATTAGACAACTCTCCACAAGAGACCAAATGACACGGAAATTTACAGCTGAGCTAAAGGTCACTGTATGGCCTTCAACAATGAGCAAAGCCCATACTACATAGTCAGCTATAAAAGGTCCCGAAATCACAAATGTAAAACAATTCAAACTTTTATTGGATATAAGAAGATGTGATGTGAGTGCCAATGAGACAACTCTCCATCCAAGTCAAAATTTATAAAAGTAAACCAATATAGGTCAAAGTACATTCTTCAACACAGAGCCTTGGCTCACTGAACAGCAAGCTATAAAGGGCCCCAAAAATTACTAGTGTAAAACCATTCAAACGGGAAAACCAACAGCCTATATTAAATCTATATAAAACATGCAATTTTACAAAAAGCAAGGGACAGGGTGGCGTTACAAGATACTACTTATACTGTGGACATCACTCACATATTGGATGATCCAAACATTAATATGTTTGTTGAAATTTAAAATGTCATGCATCTTTCCAATTGAATCAAAAGTGAGAGCTGAGAAAGTGCCTCCCAACACCCCCAATACATTCACTTCTGGAACAGCCCTTTATAGAAAAGTACATTATATGAGATAAGTAGCAGTAGCTAGATCTCCCAGTTTTTACAGTGCTTGAATTTTCTGGTTAGTGACGCATAAGCACAAAGTGTAAACCATGCAATTGTGTTACAAAGCTAGCTAGCACACTGCATTGGGTTTCTAAGGGTTAGTAGGCACATGTGCTACATATAAAAGTGTACAAGAATTATAACAAAAAGCAAGAGAAAATACATTGGTAGTCAAAATCAGTAGATGCAAGTCGGCGCCCAAAATAATTTAATATAGTGACATCCTAAAGACTTAGTGCCCTTGTTTCTATATTCTCATAATTTTTATTGTCTATTGGAAAAAATTTATCAAAAACAGTCCTAAATTTAAAAACCAAAGTTATAAGTAACATTATCAAGAAAAAGTTTACTGTTCAGATTATTTTAAGCTGATTTTCCAATAAAATAAAACTAAAAAAATTCTTTCGGTTTCTTATGGTTTCCTGTCGCGTTTAAAAAAAACCTTAATTTAACATTGAAAATAGATTTTAAATATTAACATGAAGCAAGTAACACTAGTAATGGTGTTCATTTATGTCTTTTGAAATAAATTGTGCAAAATAAAGACAATAAAGTTTTGTTTCCTGTTTGGTTTCCAGTCACGAAAACGGTGAATCAAAATTGATTAATTTTTCCTCGAAAAACCTACTTGTTCCATTAATACTAGTCTCACACCAACACAACCCACAGAATAAAAGTTAAAGTTTTAGAACTTAGAAAAAAAGGTACAAAAAGAAACCAAAGGCCGAATACCAAATTATTGCCCATATGTACTATTGTGTTGTAGTATGTATATTTATTTTCATTTACATTTTATGGGGGGAAGTTATAAAACCACATATAAAGCGCAGGCATCCTATGCCCTACAGTACTATGTCCAAACAGATTTTAAATATGAAGGGCAATTAAGCCCAGTTTCTTGTAGGAAAGGTGACATTTTGATCATGTTTGTTAATGCATAATCATAAATGAAATAAAATTAATGTATTTTCACTGGGTGTATTGTGTTTGTAGTTCAAAGAACCTGTGTGCTTTACCCAAAGCCCTGAAAGTTCCCAAAACACAACAGACCGATTGGAACAGACATCATACAATCAACTAAAATCTGAACTATTGAGAAAAGAATAGAAAAATTTATAAAAAGATTGAATCAAAGATGATCAAAAATATTGTCCAGTCTCCAACTAAAGCTTGATTTGAAAACGTTTTTCTTTTCATATATAAGTACTTAGTACAAAATACAAGAGGATAAAAAAGAAATAAAATGCACCAAATAGGGACTTAGTCTTCGAGCCCAACAGCCCAGGCTCGTAAAAATGCTGTCAGGCCTGTTAAAATCATCTCTACAGGCTAATAGAATCTTAACTAAAATTTTTCGTAAATTCAGCTTTGGGTCTAGATTTAAAAGTTTTTTGTGAAGACTGACTAAAAATTATTTTTAATCATTTGAGTTGAGGCATCAAAACAAAAATCTGGAGCTCTCATGGTATTAAATATTAAAAGAAGTAAACTTGAAATAACACCTTAAAAAGCTCCCAATATTACCAGCTTTGGAACACCTGTACAGTTCAAGGATAACCCTCAAATTTGGCAATTTTGCATTGTTTTGTCAGCTGCAAAATTCATCAATTATGATCATAAAAATAAGATCCTTCAAATACAAAAACATTAACTTACATGTACTGACTGATGATACCCTCTGGGACTTGCTATCCACAAGCTGTTGTATGTAATGGTGTAACTAATACAACATAAGATTTTCAAAATTGATTTGAAATGCTATATGCCCAATTCAAATTATTTCACTTCAATAGTGAGATAAACCTAATATCTGTTACAAGGGATTGTTAAAAGTTGAATGAACTGTAATCCAAAAATAACATAAAAAAATAAAGGGAGATAATTACCAAAGAGACTAGGTTAAATTGGAAATTTGATGATCTCCCATTGAAACTATGAAAACATTTGAGCTAGAATATAGTTGACTAAGTATTTTACTTTAAGTTTAAAGCGAATTCTGTTACTTGTTAAAAAAAAGACATTTATGAAGGGTTATATAATGCTAGAATTAATGGTTTTATAGCTTTTCAGAAATGGCTGCCTTTACTTAATTTGATTGTTTAAGAAAATTAAAAGGATTCTTCAAAATTTACTTTAAGGACGATCGCTCCTCTGCTTCAAAATAACAAGCTTCCTCCTCCAATAAAAACTGACCGCCACGAAATAGCACTATAGTGTTGAAAGTGGCGTTAAACACCAATCCATCAATGTTATAGAGCTACTGGAGAGAACTACTCAAAAAAGAAACTCAATGGTTGGTTTCAAAGAAGTAACACACATAAATCTCAAAGACCAAAAATTTGACCAGAAGAATTGGGAATGTAAATGATGTTCAACATTATTTTTTAAATTAACCCTCCATGTTTGGAAATTGGATTTTTTATGCCGTAGTGAAGTGGGCATTAAGTTTTACCCTTGTCCATGTGTACGTCCGTCCGTACGTCAAAGTTGGTTTCCGTTCTCTAACTTTATTTTGCCTCAACCAGTTATGAAACTTATACACAATGCTTATTACCGCAAAACACAGATCGAGTTTGAATTTTGGTGGTCTCGCTTTCACTGTTCTAGAGTTATGCCCCTTTACAAATGGAAAAATTGCTGAATTTTTCGTTTCCGTTCTACAACTTCAGTTTACCTCAACCAAATGTTGTGAACTTATACACAATGCTTATTACCTCAAAATACAGATACATTTTTAATTTTGGTGGCGTCACTTTTACTGTTCTAGAGTTATGCCTTTTTACAAATGGAAAAATTGTTGAATTCTTCGTTTCTGTTCTATAACTTAAGGTTGCCTCAACCAAATGTTATGAAACTTATACACGATACTTATTACCACAACACTCAGATCAAGTACAAATTTGGGTAGCGTCACTTATACCGTTTTTCAGTTATGTCCCTTTATAACTTTAAATGATATGCAAGCTGGGGCATTATCTGTGTCCCATGAACACATTCCCCATTTATTTTAGCAAATATCTGGACTGAGTTGAAAGGAAATTTTCCCCCAAAAGTTGATCAAATAAGAATTCATGAAACAATTGCAACGTGTCAGAAGCAGTACATTAAATAGTAAAGAAAAACACAATTAAATAATATAAGAAAGAGTATGACATGCAGGAAAATATGTATGTCTTACTCTTATAAATATATATAAAGATATAAGGGTAAGAAATATTAAGTTGTGTTTCATCCTGATGCCTACTTTAGTAACCCAAACTTCAACAATTTGTCAACTTCATGTCATCGAACATAAAATGAGTGTAGAAATATGTGTTCTAGTGGTCCCATATTGCAGAAACATTTAATTTGACACCTTTCTATTTATATTCAAGTTCTTAATTACTAGACATTTTGTGAAAGTTGTTTAAAACAAGGTTTTAAACTGACCTTTTTCAATTTTACAAACATAGGCTAGACCATTTGTTAACTTTGAGTGATCTAGATCTGCAGACATTATTAATACATGTACATGTAGTATCTATTTAATATATATATATATAGTTTTTACTGACTTCATTGGCTTAGGTGTTTCTATTTATATAATTTATATAAAAATATGTCTGGTGGACTTGTCGATTTTTTTCTCCCAACGTTACCTAATTTTACTTGGACCATAATAAAATTCATTAAATTATGAATGATACTTTGATGAAAATAGATATTCTTACTATAAGAGTATGCTTTCGTTTCATACATGTAAATTAATGAGAATAATCCTTTTGAGAGCCCCTGTTTTGAAATGTTAGACAGGTGAGATTTTGAAGTTTGACACATGGCAGGTTGATTTATATGTAAATATGGTTGACTGAGCTCACCAAGCGTCTAGGTCATAGGAGTGTTTTATTCTTGCAAATTTTAACAAAGTCTTAGTCATTTTTAAATCGTGGGTGAAAGCATTCATGTGACAATGTTAAATTTCACTGTTTTGACACATTTATGGAGATAAAATTGAATGTGTGTTTATTTTACATTGGATTAATGTGAAAATTAATTTAATACAGCAACTGATGCAAAGTGGGACAAATTTTTACCAGGTTGCTTCTGTGTTCTCAGTGAAAAATTAAGCAATTGTGTTACTTGTTTTATAAAATTCAAAATTAATTTGGGACTTTTTGCTGTGAGGATATTACAATATACATGTAGAGTCACCATGTAGTGGGATTTTAGTATCCTAGATTCATACAAAAGGTAGTGTATTGTTTCAGTATGCACTTTTAGCAACTAGTTATATTGTCAAGACTAGTAAAAAGTGTTTCATGCTAGTGAAAATATAATTAAACAATTTGTTACGCCAAATAGATCAAATTATTTAAATTATAAATAAGAAGATGTGGTAGGAGTGCCAATAAGACAACTCTCCATCCAAGTCGCAATGTATAAAAGTAAACAATTACAGGTCAAAGTACGGCCTTCAACACGGAGCCTTGGCTCACACTGAACAGCAAGCTACATGTATAAAGGGCCCCAAAATTACTAGTGTAAAACAATTCAAACGAGAAAACCAATTGTCTAATCTTTTTTTGTGAAAACAAGTTTGGTGCAGACTTATTTAATGGCATGCAAGACAGAGGTGTCAATATCTTTCATGTGAACTGGTATGTCTCTTAATGAACTGTTGGATACCTTGTATGTAAAATCCTAAAATCAGTGGGTGCCGATCACTTATTCAGAAGGGTAAAGTACATGGTACATTATACCTCCTCTTAATGAAAGACCTGATGAGGGAGGGGATGAGATTTGAGGTATGTGAAATGGGGGTAGGGGGTTGGTGTGGTCAACTGTACTGTGTACTAGATGTCCAATATATGTGTTATCCTTATGTCTGGAAAAAGCATGTTACAGGCCCACCTGAGCATTTGCATTGCATTTACTTCAGGAATACTATAATTATCAACTCAAAATATGTAGACTTGAATAAATTATGATGCAATCCTTGTCGCTAATTACATGAAATCAGTATTTCAAAATTGTCTATTTATTAAAAGAATAAGATTGTAAAGGGAGCTACATACAGCATCAGCTCTTCAGAGCAAGTTGAGATCAATTTTTTTACGGCACCATGGAAGTCAATCTTGAGGGGTAATAAATTGTATGTGTTATATATCAGAGATGGTGAATTTGTAGGAGTGTAAATAGAATAGATGTGTGTTACTGTTTTAGTTGTAGGTTTTGATTGACTGCTTACCAACTTATAATTGTGCCCTGTAATACAAGTTTTGGAATAAACCATTACATTTTGTTTTCAAGAAAAAAAAATTATTAGTCTATTCTGGGAACAGTATATCTAACGGGAAATGAATCTGATACGCTTTTCAGTATAAAATTGATAAAATCTCGGACTCCCCGAGACTTCCCGAGATTTACGGATTTTGGTAGCGTCTGACTGAAAAACTATCAGAACTGCTCAACAAATAAACCACATAACTCTAATTGTAAATAAATACAAGTTTTATCATTTAGAAGATATATTTTGTCATATAAAATTACCAAAATAAGTTTGATTTATTTGATGTGAAGTGTTTTATAATAGTTTGGGAATTTGTAAATCATCGCCGCAATGGCCGCCATTTTTTTATTACCTTGTTTGCATTCTGCACAATTCTGTAATGAAATGCTTGCGATTTTAACAAATTTGAAGTGACAGAATACAAGTTTGATACACTAGCATCACTATAAAACTAGTTTGAATGACATTTTATTGATAATATCAGAAATTATTAGGATAATAGCGAGTCCGTTTTTAACACATGTCCGTTTCTGTATCGTATCTTTATTAACTATGGCACGACGATAAAATCGACTACAATCAGGTAGTGTCAAGTCCCGTCAATATATATGTTCCTGGTCTATTTAATTGATTATGTATGTGAGAAAGTAAATATTTTCTTTTTGAATAATGTCTGTGCTATTGATCCTAAAATGAATACTTAGCAGATGTGTGTAAGTTGATTAAATGTTAATGGTTTCACATTTGAACTCTTGTCAGTTGTCAGTTTCAGTGATTAATATTCAATCACTAGCATGTGTGTTGGTCAGTGTGTAATTAGGTTTCTATTGATACTGGTCAGTCTTAATGAGATATCAACCAGTGGGGTCATTCTTTTTCATTTCAATTTGATAAGAGACAGTTGCATGTTTACAGATATTATGAAATTTGGTTCTGATGCTAAATAGAGGAAAGGTTAAAAGGTTAGTGGTACAGGATAAACATACTTGTATATAAAAGTTCAGCACTCACTGACACTGGCTCCTCCTAGAATCTGATGTCTTTATTATTATGGTCTGACATAGACTTGAGGACTTGTCTGACATTTATCTGTTGTCTGATAGAAATATTCCCCCCCCCCTTTCCCCCATTGGAACATATTCAATGTTTTCATTAACACAATTTTGATGGCAAATAGCTGCATATTTCTAAAATCCTTGTATTGTTTAGTTTATTCATACATTTGTAGCATTTAATTTTTTCTCTATCATTGCATGATTTGGGATGAAAATCTGTCCCAGAAATTTGATATGTTTGGGAATTCTGAGTATTTTTTTAACCCTAATTGTTTTACAGATTAATTCCTGTCATCAATATCTGAATTATCTGACAGCTTTGATTCAGTGTTTTCATTTAGGTCACAGGAGTGCTGAACAATTTTGCTTCATCATTCAGCATCAATGAGAATGGTAATGATTTCCATTGACAGAAGTAACAAGCCATAAAATATGTTTAGTTTTTATTAAAGATAATTGAAGTTAATGTGTTTGTCCCCAATGTTCTAACACACCAGTGCTTTATGACAGACTGTGAAATTGATTATGCAGAAAATTTATTGACAACTAGGAGGCCATGTCTGGGGTTAAAATAAATATAGGACCAAGGTTCGGTACCTTCAAAGGGGCACAAAGCAACAACAAAAAAATCATTTGAAGTTGGTTTTTTGAACAGGATTAATTAACATTCTTTGTAAAAAGCCAGCGAATTTTTGTGATTTTAATTTAAATAAGACTTATTGTTGTGTAACAATGTAATTTTGATAAAGGTTTTATGTTTTTTTACACTCCTTTTTATTGAACAACAGAAAATGTCTTACAAATAGGATTTAATGTCTTATTTCTGATCCAAATTAAGTTGAGGGTTTCCAATATAAAAACATGCAATTTCCACATCTGCAAAAGGGGGTATGTATCTGGAACTGACTTCCCAAGGGCGATTGGAAAATTTTCGGGTAAACCGAGTCTTGTATCCACATCACCCTTAAACAACTGACTGAATTTCTACTTAATTTGGTGTGTTAACTTTTTGATTGGAGCGTCACTGATGATTCTTTTGTAGACGAAACGTTAATACGTTTCTGGCATACAAAATTATAAGCTTGGTATCTTTGAGGTTTTTATGCCCCCGCCGTAGAGGAGGGGGCAATAAGTTTTACCCTTGTCCGTCTGTATGTACGTTCGTCCGAACGTACGTCCCAAAGTTGGTTTCTGTTCTCCGACTTTAGTTTGCCTTAACTAAATGTTATGAAACTTAAACACAATGCTTATTACCACAAAACACAGATTAAGTTTGAATTTTAGTGGCGTCACTTTAACCGTTCTAGAGTTATGTCCGTTTATAATTTTATATGATATGCAAGCGGGGGCATCATATGTGTCCCATGGACACATTCCACATTTATTTAAGCATTTTGATTATTGCATATATGTAATAGTATTCAGTTGCAAATATAAGGACCAAGTCCAGCCTCTTTTGAATGATCTTTGTATGTTTCCTACAGGAATAGGGTGGGGAATTTGAATGTACAAAATCAGTTGTGTAACTTAATGTTCATTGTATTGTTTGTAAATGTCAATGTCAAGAGACTGTGAAAGGCCCTTAATTGAAATGATATATATTCTTCCTCTGTTTCTTCTGTCAATGTTTGCTAAAAGGAGGGAATTGATTTCTTTACTGTTTTAAATGCAAATAGTTGAGCATTTTCAAAATCAATACTGGTTGAAATATTTCTTTGATAAGACAATAGTGTCTCATTTAGCTACAGGTTCTCCATTAATTCAATGATTCCCCTTTTTAAAGAGATTCTTGTTGAATCACCCACCACAAAAATTGCAATGTTTACACCCCTGTGTAGTAAACTTACATTGTTATCATACATGACACTAATTGATAAGAAAGATTGAAAGGGGCCTTGGGAGGGAAATCTCATTCTGAATGCTAACCAAGTATGACAAGCGATTTAATCTGACCCAATTTAGGCAACCTGCCAAATCTGAACTCTCAAGTATTTACCTTTTCAATGACAGGCATTTTGAACTTTAAAATTTATTGAGAATTTGAAATACTCAGTCTGAAAAGATTTTTCAGTAGTGACTGGGGAGGTATATATATATTTAAGTCAGCTTCTTCAAAAGTTGATCATCTAATGAGAAAAAAATCTGTTCTGTATCTAGAGAGCTTGTATTCACTAGTTATTGAATGAAAGTTTTTTTTTTTTCAAAAACAAAATTAGATTTTAAGTGATAGTGCTTTACTACTGAGGTACAAATTATTAATCATTTCTCTTAGGCTGAATCTATCAGATAAATTATCAAAGCAAAAGAAGTTAGAAGGCTTTCGGTTGCCCATCAGGCAATTAGAGTTTTGTTCCTATTTATTTTGGTGTATATAGTGAATGGCTTTGAAAAATACTAGCTTAAGCTAACTTCAAATACATGTACCAGATAAAATATCACAGGGCGTGTCAATAACATAAAATTGTTAATGACCTTCTATGAATGCCACAAATATAAATTGAAGTTCAGATTAAGTTGTTTTGGTCTGTTCAGATCTTGAAAAATTGGGGGCGGATGAGTACAGACACACTTAAATGTAAACATACGGTTGTACTTGAGACTTCCTTCCTCAATTGAGGGAGTTATAAGTCATCTTACATTGATCATGTGATGATATATGGTCTGCTATGGTGTATTTTCTACATCTGCTTCCATAAGTTGTAAGTTGCGAAAATAGAATATTACATTCATAATTTAAACATGAAAACTACTTGCAATGTTTAAAAACTGAAGTAACTACAGTTTATCAGGATGTGTTTTGATATGACCTGTTGTAATGATTCATTTCTAACCCTTTACCATGTACATGTACTACTTGCATGTAGTATGATTCATTCACTTGGAAATGTCTGTCCAATGTTCATGAATTGATATTATTAGACAGGCGATGTACCATTATGGGGGTGCTCATTTCCCAAATCCTGCTTTATTTTGTAATTTTTTCCCGATCCCAATTTTTTTCCTCCTTTTCCCAGATCCTAAATTTTTGCCCCCTACATTGCACTTCCCCACATTTCTGACCGCCAAATCCCTCATCTTAAAGAATGTGCTAAACTTGATTAAGTAACCATTTGATTTTGAAGTGACAGTCCAAAATTCATCCCTCTCTCACTTTCCCTTATTGCTGAATTGATAATCTGTTGTGAGATATTTTGTATGCCCCCGCCGTAGGCGATAGGTGCATTAAATGTTACCCTTGACCTTCCGTTCTTCTGTCCATCCCATTTTCATTGCATAGCTTGAGTGGGTGGGGGCATTCGTGTCCTCAGACACATTCTTGTTTTATTCTCTTAGACATTTAGCAATCAGTCAGCAAATTAATCTACTATCCCATAATATATTTCAAAATTTAGATTTTTTAAGTTTGAACAATATTCATATATAAATCCAATTTATAAAGATTTTTTTCTGTGTTTTTTGAGTTGTAAAATTTAACTTTTCAGTCTAGACTTTTTACTAGTAGTTATTACTAAGTAGTCACTGTTTACATCTCTTCTTTTATTTGTAATCTTGAGAAACAGTTTTACAAGATAAAATAGGTAAAATATTTCATGACTTTATTTTCAATTTGAGATGTTCGGGTAAAATATTATGTATTAACTAAAAAGAAAAATTCCATATTTAATCATGCTATTGTATTTGTGATTCTTGTTTCTGACATTTCTATTTATGTCGTTGACATGGTTGACACCATGTGCATAAATGAATTTGAAAAAAGACTAATGATAAAATTAAATAATTTCCCCATACATTATGTACCTAAAAATTTGAGTCATATTTAAATGCCAAGGTGAAGTTTTTATTGAATAGATAAGTGTCCTTTGTTGACTGCCAGGTCATTGAAAAATCTGACACTTCTTCAAAGGCTTGTAGTTGAGGGTGTGAATTTATATTATAGCGTAATTAGGGGGTTACAAAGGGGTTAGATTCAGATTCTCATTATGAATTGTGTAATGTTGTTATAACATCCCTAAGCCCCCTTGTAATTTGTTAACAGTAGTTCATTGATAATAAACACTTTGAAGCACACAATTAACATACATACACAAACCTCTTCAGGACTTAAGATTTGACATGTTCGGTTTCATCAGATTCACATGCATACAATTTGATATAACTGGGCTTAAGAACATGTTTGGTTTAGCCAGGTTTTCGGTTGATGCAAGATTCGATTAAGACAGGTTTCACAACTTTCACTGTATAATTATTATTTCTAAAGCAAATTTGAAATGTTGAAAGTTTATCAAGTACATGCATTTGTACATGTATAAAAACAAGAAGATGTGGTATGATTGCCAATGAGACAACTCTCCACCAGAGACCAAATGACATAGAAGTTAACCCCTATAGGTCACCAGACGGCCTTCAACAATGAGCAAAACCCATACTGTATAGTCAGCTATAAAAGGCCCTAAAATGAGAAATGTAAAACAATTCAAATGAGAAAACCAATGTCTTGATTTATTTACAAAACAATGAATTCGAATGATAAACAAATTTGATAAACAGCAACAAAGGACAACCACTGAATTACAGGCTTTTAACTTGGGACAATCGCATACAGAATGTGGCGGGGTTGAACATTTTTGAGGGCGTCCAACCCTCCCCTTACCTAGGATTTTCACCACTTGTTCCAAAAACAAGCTTCATTAAGATTGTTAAACATTTTGTCATGCCATGGCCTTTTATAGGTATGGATGATTACTGCTGTAGTGATAGTGGTCTAATTTGCAACAATATATATCACATCTTATTATATTGAACCACTTTCTGTCTAGCGTTGTATTGAAATCAATTGTATGTGGTTCAACAAACAACATAACTCAGCTAATTTTACTTTAAAAACAAGAAGTCAAGCAAGAATAACATTATGCTGAGATTTTGTGAAAATGGATTTCAGTGCCAATTTGAATGTAAATAATAAGTTGTCGCACAAGTCCTAGATAATTGGATTAATCATGTATAATAAGCTATAGACTGAAATACTTCCTGCGTTACGTGTCATATAATATTGAAATTTGATTTGGTTTTTTGTATTCAAAAATTGATAGTCAACCTTTCCCATGAATATTTATTTAGTATGTCTGGCAGTTGTTGCTGATCAGGGTTGTTGGGAGCCCTGTGGAAAGGGATTGATAATAGATTTTTGTAAAATTTTCACAATTAAAAAATCAAAAATAAAGAATTTCAATGAGGATAAAGTGTGGTAAGGGGACACTAATCTGGCGTATGTAACATTCCACACAAATAGTTTTGTTGAAAGCTATGTATATTTGCATGTTGCAGCTTGGATCAGCTTTTCAAAGATACATTTTCTTTTGCAGATTTGAAAGAGAACCAGCCATTATAATCAATCATGAGTACTTATCAAATTAACCAGAATGAGGGGTCGAACAGAAATAGTAAGTATTAGGATAGACTACAGCATCCTTAACACCAAAACTTGTTAAATTGACATGGGTGAAAAATCCAGCGTGAATAATTCCTTCCTCACAAAAAAGTAGGACGGGCATTTCCGGCAATACGTTGAAATTTCAACATGAGACTTGTAACAGTAAACACTTCAAAATATATACATGGCCTGTTAGACTAAAACTATATATAAAATATATACATGGCCTGTTAGACTAAAACTATATATAAAATATATACATGGCCTGTTAGACTAAAACTATATATAAAATATATACATGGCCTGTTAGACTAAAACTATATATAAAATATATACATGGCCTGTTAGACTGAAGTTTAAATAGGTTTATGAACACATGATTTGTTCTAATGTTTGTTGACACCTGAAAATGAAGTAAAAAAAGACAACAGTTGGTATTGTTTGAGGTGAACAATTCTCACAAGCTGTGGTAAAAGGCAAAAAGTGCAAAATTAAGTTGTTTTTTATATGAATATGAATATCAACAAGCAATAATTAGAATTGTATGCTTTGTCAGTTATGAAATGGATTCATTGGATCACGGCCAGACAAACTGTGCACAATTATACATAAGCCAAATAGTCTTCAAAATTGAGGAAATTTTTATAGCAAGACACATACAAAACAAATGTTATAATTACTATCTCAACATTAGGCAGAGATAACAAAATGTTTTGTGAACATACAAATTGTTGATTGAACTCTGGGTCAGTATACTCACAGACTACACCAAACGTATTTAGAGGCTGGCTGACATTTGGGGTTACAGATTCACTTAACTTGTCTGATCTAAAAGTGTAAAGAGTTGTAGGTTGTCAAGTCTGACATCTGGATTGATAAATTAGGGGTGCACATGCTGCAGTGATGTGTATTTTAGCAGGCATATCAAAAGGTCTTGCAGGTTTCTTGTTGTCTGCATTCTTGACTATACAAAATGTATAAAAAAATTAAATATACTGCACATTTAAAGTTCATGACTGAGTTTTTTTTTAGTGAGATTTTTTGTGAAATAGGTCACAGATCTAATTGCATAAAGTGCTTTTAACTTCTTGAGAGGATTGTTTAAGGGAAAGGTTTGAGTTGATGACCTGACTGATTTAATGGTATTTGAATAAAAGCTGTTAGACCTTTCTGAAATTCCTTTCAATAAATTCAATATTTTAGTCTTCAATCCTTGTAAAAAGTCCTGTTTTTTTTTTCAAAACCTGTAGATAAAGCTAATTGTACACTTGTAAATAATAAAAAGAATAGATTTTCTTTGCACAAAATCTTAGACACAAATTAAATTTGCCTGGCCTAAAATTTCCTGTATTTAAGATTATCAATGAGCTGTGATACACAGATCTACATGCAATAAAGAACACATAGTTGTCTTGATTAGCATCTGTACACAGATTTTATTTTAACTAAGGCTGAAGATTTATTTGATTGGCCTAAACAAGAAGGATTTTCTTAATGTACAAATTAAATGAAGCATTATTAATGAATATTTGATGTAAGAAGGAAGATATCTGTAACAGTGTGATGGCTGTTAGAGAAAATTGCATCAAAATGGTAAGATTTTGGGTGGTTTTTCTCTTGAACGTTGATAATTTGATGTTTTAAAGTTTATTGACTTTTGTTTCATATTTTGAACATTTCCTCTACAATTTTGTGTACAGGAAAATACAATTCTGATTATTGCTTGTCCATATTCCTATAAAACAGACTTTATTTTGCACCTTTTGACTTCTACCACAGCTTGTGAGAATTATTCACCTTCTCACACTGAAGGGATTTCTTGCTTCATTTTCAGGTGTCAACAAACATGACAAGTAAGAACAAATCAAGTGTTTAAAAATCAATATTTTGAATTTGATATTAATGATGAAATTACATCTAACACGATCATACCTTTTTCTGGTATACTACACATGATACTTACATCTGTTTTCATGCCCCTCGCCGTAGCGGAGGGGGCATTAAGGTTACCCTTGTCCGTATGTACGTACCAAAATTGGTTTCCATTCTCTAACTTTAGTTTGCCTCAACCAAATAATATTAAACTTATACACAATGCTTATTACCACAAAACACAGATCAAATTTCAATTTTGGTGGCGTCACTTTTACTGTTCTAGAGTTATGCCCCTTTACAAATGGAAAAATTGCTGAATTTTTTGTTTCCGTTCTCTAACTTTAGTTTGCCTCAACCAAATGTTATGAACTTATGAAACTTATGCACAATGCTTATTACCACAAAACTCAGATCAAGTACAAATTTGGGTACCGTCACTTTTACAGTTCTAGAGTTATATCCCTTTATAATGTTATATGCAAGTGGGGGCATCTGTGTCCCATGGACACATTTCCCCTTTATTTCTTGTAGCCTCCCTTTGTCAGATGCTATTTATTTACTGGGACGTTAAGCAACCAACAATCAATCAATCTCTATTTACTGAAATGGTTAACCTTAATCAATTTTTTTGTATGTATATTTTGAGGTTTACAAAATGGAACTTGTTCAGTAAAAGTACATATAAACACCTGTATGTAGATTTCTACTGCTTAGATACTGTGTATGTGCATGGTTTTATGTGAAGCTCATGTCAACTGTCATACATGTACATGTATTTACATTTTAGTTATTACTAGTACATGCATGTCATGCTTGTTTGATAATTTTTAAACATGATGTAAGCCATGTAAGTGGTTTGCTAGTTTTTGCAAGTAGAAGTAGGATGTTCAACATTAACTTTTATAACTGACTGACAAGTAGGTGGTCAAAATTGTGAGGAAGAAGGCTATTTTAATTTAGCCAAAAATCCACTTCTAAGGGAAAGCACTGTATGACTACCTGGTTTTTTGTTTCGCATTTAAAGTGAGTTTCAAGAGACGCAACAATTTACGACAGCAACTTAACAACACTAAAAGATCTGAAAAACACATTTAGAGGCCAAAGTAGAGTCGACAACAAGAAAGCTCTAAATTGTCTTGTCTTCACAAGTTACGGATTAAGTAATCATGGTTATGGGGACTGAAAGATCTGCCATCAACACAAAATTCATTTACAGATAAAAACTTTTAACCAGATATTCACCAATGAGGTTCATGAATGTAACAAATATTATTGTTTTTCAGTGTCGGGAGGGAATAACTACATGGACCTGTCGGACATGCCGCTGGACAAAAACCAACAGACGATGATGTGGCAACAAAACCAATACATGGATTCTGGTATCAACTCAGGAGCCACAACCTCGGTAAATAATTACTTTAATTGATTTACAAATTACATATTCAAAATGTATCAACATTTAACATAGTGTTATTCAAAGAAAATGAAGTAATATTTTGACATTAAAAATCCATGTGTACAGTGAAGAATATGGAAGAATGGTTACCAATGTGAGGTTAATGTTCCAGTTACTATGAAACATTTAAAATGGTAATTTCATGTCTTTATGCAGTGGCACAAACTATTCAAACTTGATAAAACATGAACTCTGTACAAGTGTTTCTGTTTTGACAAACTGAACTGTGAAAATAAGTCAAGAAACACTGGGAACAAAATGGGAAAAATAGGTGCTTGATATTTGTAAAAAAGGATCACTTAAAATGCAGAAAAAATCAAGGAAAGAAAACAAATGAAAAAAGGGGGGTATCCATTCAGATTAGATCATAACTTTACATGAATATTATATGTAAACACATTTTTGAAGTCTGTTACTTTTTATTATCAGATCATATCTAAAACTTTGACTGTCTTGTCATTTAGGCTCCTTCCATCAGCAGCAAGGGAGGTCACCATGAACCTGAAGACATGAATGAACAAGGGGGAGATAATATGGACACAACCAGGATGATGTTGGACTGGGCTGAACAAAATTACAGCAATCCACAATATACACAGGATCAAGTTGATGGTAGGTTTCAAAAATTTGAAGCAAAGGCAATTGTTAAAAAAAAAATCATTTTTGTAAGATATTGGATCCAGAAAAATGATTTGAACAAACTGCTTACATTCACCTCATGTGAACTCTGATGGTTACTTGTCTCATTGGCAATCATTCAACATCTCTTTATTTTTGTATTTGGGCATTCTTGTTTGCCTTGCCATTTATTTTACTTATGCATGATTATAATATAGAAGTACCTGTTCACTATTTTGTTTCGGAAAGATAGTGCGAGTTGGTAGTGCTTGTGACATGTATTTATTGGAGTTGCTTTTGCAAGATAAAGGATTCTAGATAATGTTAAAACCAAAAATTGTCAACTTTTTATGAAAATTTTAATAAGTCTTATTCTATAAAATCATTTGAAAGTAGAATGTATATATTTTGGTTTTTTTCCTTTGCAGAAGTGAATCAACAATTAAACCAGACTCGTTCACAGCGTGTGAGGGCAGCCATGTTTCCAGAAACCATGGAGGAAGGCATGGCTATACCATCAACACAAATGCACCCCGATCAACCAACGGCAGTGCAAAGATTGGCTGAGCCATCACAGATGTTAAAGCATGCCGTCGTTAACCTTATAAACTATCAGGTAATTTTGGACTTCTTAACCTCAGTTTTTGTTTAAAATTACAATATGTTATCAGAAAACAATTGCCTTAAAGGAAAAGCAATTGTTCAACATGTTCTACTAGCAACCTGATATATTTTGCTGATCTTTCAATATAATACCATGGATTTGGCTGGCCTACAATGATTATATTATAAAGCATAATTATGCTTATAGAGAGTAAAGATGAGAACATGATTCAACAACTCAGAATTAACAAAAAAAGGTCTTGCGTCATCAAGGGAAATCAGGTGTCTTGTTTTATTTTAAAAATACACCTTAAGATGTATTCTATTCTTTTGTTTATTCTTGAGATAAATTCTTTAAAATGTACTATTTAATGCATATGAGTGTAGGGATTTTGTATATGATGAAGTTTTACACCAAATTCCTACCTTAACATTTATAGAAGATTATTGGCTGCACAAGAAATATAACAAATTTATTAAAATAGAAAAAGCTAAATTATAAAAAAACCGAGGAAATAACCAACTGTTAATATTAAAATATGAAATATTTTCTATTATCAGGATGATGCTGATTTAGCTACCAGAGCTATTCCTGAACTGACAAAGCTTCTTAATGATGAAGATCAGGTAGTGGTCAGTCAGGCAGCCATGATGGTACACCAATTGTCCAAAAAAGAGGCCAGTCGCCATGCCATCATGAATTCTCCACAGATGGTGGCAGCATTAGTACGAGCCATGAACAATACAAATGACATGGAAACCACACGTTGTGCTGCTGGGACATTACATAATCTTTCACATCATCGCCAGGGATTACTGGCTATTTTCAAATCTGGCGGAATACCAGCTCTAGTCAAACTTTTAAGGTATAAACCACAGTATTGATAAGATAGCTATAAATTCATTCTCTTTAAAAGGGGATAACAAATTTGCTCAAATTCAAATTCATCACACACTACTGTCTTTAATCAACTTTTGTTTTAAGCTTTTTGCAATTTTTAAAAACCTGGCCCTCGTTTCACAAAAAACTGTCGTAAGTCTTGAACTAGACAGTATCCTTACGACCAATATTAGTCGTAAGAGTTTTTGTGAAATATGGGCCTGTTATTAAGAATCATTCATTTTTTGGGGTCTGCTGTTCATCCTCTCGTGCATTCCTTCTGCATGTTATAATTTTGTGACACATGGCCATCACGAGGTGAGGTTAAATGTAAAGTGAAGGGGAATACTTAGTTTTAAATCCTAGCTCATAAAGATCTAATAAAAAGAAAACAGCTGTCAGATAATATGACAAGTAAAAAGTATAGAAGAGTCAATTCATTCTATTCTGAAATAATGATAACTTTGTCTTGTTTTTCAGTTCACCCATTGAATCAGTTCTATTTTACGCTATCACAACATTGCACAATCTACTGTTACATCAAGATGGTTCCAAGATGGCTGTCAGGCTCGCTGGAGGTCTACAGAAGATGGTTGCATTATTACAGAGAAACAATGTCAAGTTTCTTGCCATAACAACAGATTGTTTACAGATTTTAGCTTACGGAAACCAAGAAAGCAAGGTTTGTCTAAGCCTTATATCCCAAAATAATTTTAGGCTGTCAAATAATGCGACTTTGCTTTTATTACCTAAATGTTCAATTCCAATGAAGGTGTCGTTTGGAGCAGTTTGAACATGGCTTGTAATCAGTAATTTCTACCTTTAATAGCATTGTAGAAGTAATTTTATTTTATCAGCTAAATACAAGAATTTTCATACACCTTATAAAACAAAAATCTTAAGAAAAGCTTATTAAATTTCTGAAGTACCAGTCTTTTATTAGTCCCCTACCGATGAAGTCGAAGGGGACTCTAGGTTTGTACTCCATCCGTCAGTCTGGCAAATCAGCTTTCCACACTTTTTTTCTTCGTTCTTGAAGATATTGATTTGATATTTGGTATATAGTTTTATCATGACAAGTTATAGATCAAGGTCGAATTTTGTTCCGGTCTGATGATTTAGTCCAGAGTTATGGACCATAACTCTGGACCATATCTAATGTTAGAGTACTATGTTAAACCATATTTCTGTACAAAGGGAGATAACTCCTTTTTTAAAAGACATTCTTTGTTAAATTATTTGAGGAATTTTTTGGCAGGTTTGTTTTTTATTTAGTATAAACTAATTTTCTGAATGCTATATATATAAAAAAAATTATGAAGAGAAATCCTTTAATTAGATAATAATCTATTTTTATTAATGTATATATTTCAATACATTACATTGTGTAGATAAAAGTTGTTGACATTTTATAGATAAGTTACAAATCTATATTAGTTTGTGACAAATGAAAGAAAAAATATTTGGAACTATTAATTATATTTGATTATGATTTGAAAATAGATATACACTGTATTACATCATATCTAATTTTAGAGAACTATTAATCATATCTGATGTTTTTTCATCATGCTTATAAGATATTGATTGATAATTGGTATATAATTTTATCATGACTAGTTACAGATCAAGTTCAAATTTTTGTTTCGGTCTAATAATTTTGGACAGAGTTATGGTCCTTGGACTCGAAAAATTCACTCATATAATCAGTTTTCCACACTGTTCTTTAGTCATGCTTGAAGATATTGACATGATATTTTCTTTTTGTTTACACCATGACAAGTTATAGAACAAGTTAGCATTTTGTTCCAGTATAATGAATTTTTACCTGGTAGGGGACTATGTATTGCCATGCAATACTCTCAGAATGCTTGTTTTCATCCTCATATCTTTTTATCATTATATATTTGATATTTAATGAAAAATAACAGACCAGGAATTAAAATATAGGTTTTTGTTTACTCCAACCAATTCATACTTGAATTAAAAACCTGATTTTTTTTACACACAAATTATTCAAGAACTTTACTAATATGGATATTTAATAAAAAAAATTCTGGATAATGTAAATAATTGTAATTTGGTGCATGCATATGTCTTACCTCAGTGATTGAAGCATCAGCTTTAGAGGAAATAATTATTGACTTAATGTATGTGCAATTGATTCATATGTGTGTATAATTTGACTTTCAGTTGATTATCCTAGCCAGTGGTGGTCCAGGAGAACTTGTCAGAATTATGAGATCTTATACCTACGAGAAACTGCTGTGGACCACATCTCGTGTCCTGAAAGTTTTGTCTGTATGTTCTAGTAACAAACCTGCAGTCGTCGAGGCTGGTGAGTATAATGTTAAAGTCTGCTCATATATCTTAACAATTTTATTGAGAAATTAATTTCACCAAGAGATAAAAATTAAAAACAGAATTTCCACAGAAAGAACTTGAATTCAGTATGTTATTGGTTCAAGATTATAAGTTAATGAAAAAGTAATTTCATATCTAAATGATGAATCTTATAAATTGTAAAAGTTTATAAATGAGAATTGGAAACAAATGTAGACTTTTTTTTTGTATTTCAAATATTTAAACGCATGAAGAAAAAATCAGCCTTTTCATCAAATAGCTTTAAACATTTTTACAAAGTTATGAATGCTTGGAATTCATTGAATTTCTCCCCTACACGAACTTAGGAACTGCAAAGCTAGAGTTTAAATGAGTGATCATATAGCAGTTTATAACATTGATTTGACATTTTTATGCCCCATTTATGAGCATTATATTTTTCGGTCTGTGCGTATGTCTGTCTGTCCCTCCGTCTATCCCGCTTCAGGTTAAAGTTTTTGGTTAAAGTTTTTGGTCAAGGTAGTTTTTGATGAAGTGGAAGTCCAATCAACTTGAAACTTAGTACACATGTTCCCTATGATATGATCTTTCTAATTTTAATGCCAAATTAGAGTTTTGACCCCAATTTCTCGGTCCACTGAACATAGGAAATGATCCTGCGAGTGGGAAAATTCGTGTACTATGGACACATTCTTCCTTGTTTCTACATTGACTTCTAATTGAATTGTAGAATAATCAGAATAAATGGATATAATTACTATTTAGTTTCACCATCGTCATAAGGATCGTCCTCGTGATGGAATTTAAAAGCGACTGAATATGTTTGTTACTTTAAAAAAACTATTTATTATATGATTTCTTTTGATTGTTTTCAGGTGGTATGCAGGCATTAGCTATGCATCTAGCTCATCAGAGTCAAAGATTAGTACAGAATTGTTTATGGACATTGAGAAATTTGTCTGATGCAGCCACTAAAGCAGTAAGTTGGTTTACTTTTGATTTTAGAAAGTACATTCAGCATTGGTATGTTTGTACTTGTGTATTACATAAAAAGGATAGCAGGAAATAACAAAATTATTGATCAGTACAACAAACCACACCCACCCAAAAACACCCAACTCCTCCCAAAAAAATACAATCATGAACAAAAAACACATATTCAAGATAGTCTGAATCCGTACAGGAACAAAATGTAGTAGGATTAAACCAGTTTTATGTTTATGTCCACAAATTCCTTCCCTTTGGATATTTAGACCATATGTCACATAAGTTATATGTATATTATAGATAGGTAATTTCATAATATTCAGGCTTGTATTACAACATCATCATTTCCCACATATATTTGTTCAATGGACGTTAAGCAGCCAACAATTAATCAGTCAACATATATTTGCTGTCAAATTATTTACGACCTCTCAAGTGAAAAAAGTATCGGTCAACTTGTATGTATAACTCCTATTATCAACAAGTAAAGAACAAAAATATGGCATTATGGAAAAATCTCTTTATTTTCTTTTGTAACAACTAACATCCAACTCTGAATTTTTTTGAATTTTTCAATCATTTCTGAATAAGATACCTGATAGATGTTTTTGCTGTTATTCATAAGATTGTTATTTGTGATTTCAGGACAACATGGAAACTCTCCTACAAATGTTGGTACAGCTTCTGTCATCCAATGATCTCAACATGGTTACCTGTTCAGCTGGTATCCTGTCCAACATGACCTGTAACAACCAGCGTAATAAGATCATCGTATCACAGGTTGGAGGTATCGAGGCTCTTGTTAGAACCATTCTACAGGCAGGAGATCGGGAAGATATCACTGAACCAGCTGTAAGTACATGTCTTATTTGAAATAGGAAAAATTACAAATGGATCATCATTTAGTAATGAGAAAATAGCATAGTCGAAATAAAGAATTTCATAGATTGCATCAGTCTGTTGGTTAACAAAGATGAAAGCAGTTTCTGAAAGGAAACTTCAGAAATTATGAGAAAATAGATATATTTTGAAATTTCAAAATCTTAATAAAAACTTTGAGTTAATATTATGAAAATAAGGAAATGTGTTGAGATTGCCAATGAGACAAGTATCCACCAAAGACTATTAACTTCATTAACAGTTTGTTTACACTAAAAAAAAAACAAAAAAAACATAACTCTTATAAGAAAAAAAAAGAGAAGTTCATATCTTTACAGAGCATTCGGTTAATGGTTTAAGAGTATAAATGTAGACAACATTGATGGGATCTAAATATTTTACACATTTGAGAAGCTCAGAATTATATTAAAAATCTATATCCATAGAAATTTGATATGTGAATATAATTTCATTTTGTTTCTTGTGTTTTCAGGTGTGTGCATTGCGTCATTTGACAAGTCGTCATCCAGATGCAGAGATGGCCCAGAATGCAGTGCGATTACATTATGGACTTCCTGTCCTTGTCAAACTGTTACATCCACCAAGCAGATGGCCATTGATCAAGGCTGTTGTTGGCTTGATCAGAAATCTGGCACTCTGCCCAGCAAACCATGCTCCACTCAGAGAACATGGTGCATTGCCAAGAATTGTCCACCTTTTGTTGAGAGCCCACCAAGACACACAAAGGGTAAGTTGTCTATTATGAAATTGGCGATAGATGATCTGAGTACTACATGTTCAAAATACTTGTTGGGTTTAACAACATCGATCTTAGTATTTTAGAATTTATTTTTAAAAAAAGTTTATTTTGTCAAGAAGAGTTTTTTGTTGACTTGTGAATTGTAAGAGAAAGGGAACATTCCTTTTTAGTTTCATTGGATACTTTTAAGAGGAAACTTTAATAGCTAGTGATTCAAGCAAACATCATGCCCATGGACATTTGAAAATTGTTTTAAAAAGCAGGATTGTAGCATATTAAATTGTTAATAATTTATATATTAAATAAAAGTATATAAATGTTTATACATCTTTCCACCTGAAACAAGGTACTGTTATAACTGTAAACTTTAAATAACATGACAATATATTTTTCGTCAGAGAGCATCCATTTCCTCAAATGGCCAGGGATCCGGCTATGTTGATGGTGTACGTATGGAGGACATTGTTGAAGGTACAGTAGGAGCTCTCCACATTTTGGCCAGAGAAGGACACAACAGAGCTGTCATTAGAGGGTTGTCATGTATACCACTGTTTGTACAGGTAAGGATTTTACCCTAAAAAACGTCCAGATTTTCAGTTGTCGTGGATGTTCTTTGTTCAGGCAATTTCTGAAAGTTAACTTTCACAACTTGACAGACAAGATGGGACCAAAAATCATGTGTTTCTCCTTTCATGGCACCCCCTTTAAAATTTGGCTGAAAAGGACCCCCAAAATATTATTCCACAATAATTTATATGAATAAAAGATGTAAAAAAAAGCTTTAATTGTAATTGCAAGATGACAACTATTAACATACCTATTGGAATGAAGTTTTCTTAAAAGAAATGTTTGATACATAAGAATGGTAAACATTACTGTCTTGTTTTTCAGCTGTTGTATTCACCTATTGAGAACATACAGAGAGTAGCAGCTGGAGTACTATGTGAGCTGGCAGCTGATAAGGAAGGAGCTGAGCTCATTGAACAAGAGGGCGCCACTGCTCCTCTTACTGAACTCTTACACTCCAGAAATGAAGGAGTTGGTAAGTAGATTTACAAATGACACACATTTTAATTTTGGAAGAATCTCCACATTAGAAAAAAAACAAGGGTTTGAATAAATTTATCATTTGTTTCTGCTTTTAAAAACAAGGGTTTGAATTAATAAATTAATATTTATGAAAAATAAAGCATTCTTTCCCAGATCTCGAAAAAATTTGAACCATAAGTAATCATTATTTCCAGGTAAAACCATGAAGTACATTATTTTTAATCTATGACATGAAATCATACCTTGTAAAACAAGGAATCATCATATGTTTATATAAAATGTACTGCTTATCATCATGTATTGAACATTATCATTATGCTCAACTTTTATACTAATGTTTGCCATGCACATGTTTGCATTTTGGATTTTTATAACAACTTTTTGTTTATGATTTTCTGCGATGAGGGCCTGAGTGTAATACGATAAGTTATATGACATATTGTGTAACCTTCACAAAACATAAGTATTGTTGTTGTTTCATTGTTTATTAACGTCATATTGTGATATGAAACATAAAACATTGCTCTCATAAAATTCAATTCTTGGTTATATTGAATTTCTCTATGTTTCTTGACATACTAAAGTATTAATTCTTAAGCATCGAAGTGATTAACAAGAAGAAAAAAATAGCCATTTTATAAAAACATGTTAGAATGGTTTTGGCTATTGTATAAAAATACCATACAAATTTTATAGGTTTTTCATAATTTCAAAATAACATTTTACTTGTGCTACACTAGAACAGAATTTCTATTCTATCACTGGTCTGTATTAGATGTTGAAAGCAACAGAAGGATGTTTTTCAGAACAAAGGGATTGGGCCTTAATTGTTCCAGGAATTCGGTATTTACACTTTAAGAAAGGGAATTAATGACTCACTTTTCGAGATCTGGAAAAGACTGCCTTATTTCTTTTGGATATTTAAATTCAGTGTTTATTTTTATTTCGAGACTGCACCCATTCCTACCCTCTCTCCCTCATGACAGTGATAATAATAATTAAACTCAGTTGCTTACCTTTGTACTTTTATTGCAGCAACATATGCAGCAGCTGTTTTGTTCAGGATGTCTGAAGATAAACCACAAGATTACAAGAAACGTCTGTCTGTAGAACTGACCAGTTCCCTGTTCAGGGGAGACCAGAATATGCCATGGTCTGAGGTTAGTTGTTAACATGTACTGTGCTGCAGTCTTAATAAAATAGGACAGAATTCACTAATCATTTAAAACTTATAAATTGAAATGGTCTATATGAAATACTATTGAAAATGAAAAAAATTGCAAGGAAAAACTTTATTGAAAAATGTTCTGAAATTTTTTTTTGAATTAGGAAAAGTTATTTTTTTTAAATTTCATGCATCAAAAGAACTTGATTATTTGTTTTATTTTAGAAAAGAAGCTGAAATCTTTTTTATTTTATTTTTTAAATGCAATTTTCGTTTTCTTTTTTCAGCCACCAGGATTTGATGATGTGGCCGGAGGTTTCGGACAGGACGAATCCTACAGGGATCAGATGTATCAACCACCACAACACCATGGTAGTCAAGGCAGCATGCATAGTGGAGGCGACATGAGAGGAGGTAAGGTCAAGGGTCATACAGACGATAGAATATTTAAAAAAATTTAATTATCAGTCCCCTACTGACTAAGTCGAAGGTGACTTTAGGTTTGAACTCCGTCTGTCTGTCCATCCGTCAGTCCGGCAAATCAGTTTTCCACACTTTTTTTCTTCGTGCTTGAAGATATTGATTTGATATTTGATATATTGTTTTATCATGACAAGTTACAGAACAAGTTCGAATTTTGTTCCGGTCTGATAATTGTATGTAGAGTTATGGTCCTTGGACTTAGAAAATTCACTCAAAGAATCAGTTTCCACTTTTTTTTCGTCATACTTGAAGATATTGATTTGATAATTAGTATATAGTTTTATCATAACAAGTTACAGACCAAGTTCAAATTTTGTTATGGTCTGATGATTTTATGCAGTGTTATGGTCCTTGTTTTATATAAATATGTACACAGCTTTATACATGACAAGTATTACTTCAGCAGGAAAAATGTATATTAGATTAAATGGGAGTGTTAGACAGCAAGCAAGCAACAGTGTAGAATTCTAGGTCATTGGAGACAAAAGAGATGCACTTATTAATTTGTTGGACAAAAATGGTATTGCCCTATTTGAGTACAATTAAACATGATTTATATTAGTACACATATATTTAATAAACCAAAATACTAAATTATATACAATGGGACAAGTGAACTTGCAAAATCTTAAATATCTTGACAAAGAGAAACTGTGGAAAGGTTTCTTTTCTTTCGCAATAAATCATCAACTTGAACGTTCAATGTCTTGGAGAAAAAGAGACGCTTTTGTACTGAAAAATTACATTTTACATTCTAGTGAGCATGTTTATGCAATTGGAAGTCATCAAGTTCATATGATGTGAAGTGTACTGTTATATCAACTTCAATCTGTCATAAATATCGTAATGAACTCTGAGGTCAATATATTAACCATACTCATCATAAAGACAGGTGCATGGAGAAAAAAAACACAAACTAAAAAATCTAGAGCTTTATGCTACATGTATAAAGATAAAAACAAGCAAAAGAAAAAGTTATTCAATATTTGAAGCATTAACATTGTAAGGGAGGTAACTGAAATCATACCAGTTAATGAAATTAGGATCGTTTCAGAACTGAGGTCTAGAACATTTTATAACACTTAGAACCAAATACATCTGGTCAGAACTTCACAAGATCACATTGACTTGTGTAAATTTGACAAATTGTTTAAAAGAATTGCTGTTGGTGAGGTATTTGGATTAATTTAGTTTTTATTCAGCATTGTGATGATTTTTTTCTCTTTCATTTAAGGTTATGATCCTCAACTTCCCATTGATTCCATGCAAGGCCTAGATATTGGAAGTCAACATGGCAGCAATTATGGTCCATTGGACAACATCCCTGACTTGGGCCCACAGTCTCATTCTGGACCAGATTTAAATTTTGAGAACATAGAATCAACACTGCCCCCTCAACATGATGGTAGCCATTCGTGGTACGATACAGATTTGTAAATAAACTAATTGTTTTTGATGAATAAGAAATTTGATTGACACAGATTTTAGGAAAAACATCAACAAGTGAACAACATTGGATGATAGTGATCTGTGAAAAAGCACATTAGTGCTGGAACAAATGTAAATAAAACATCCAGGTGACCTGAACAAGCATGTTACTGATAAAGATCTGAGAATATTGTGCCTGATGATATTTTTTTTGTAAATGAATTTTAGAATTAGAATAAAACTGTATGTGCTGTCTGAATTAAATGTTATTTAAAATTAGTTATTTAATTTCCATTATATAGACTATAACACAATCAAATTACATGTATACACAAGTTACCATGGTTACTTGGAAATCATAATGTCAATAACGGAACAAAGTTCTTTTTTTTTCTCATTAAACTCACATTTACATCACATTTCATTTCTTCATACATATCAGCATCATATATCAATCAGAAAAAGATGTAAAAAAAAAAAAGACCACAAATTATTATTTTGTTGCCATGGTGACATGTACTGATTTAAATTATACTTTTTTTTTTATGTTTTATCCATTATTGTACAGGTGTATGTTTTAAATTATACAAGTGATTTTATTAATTTTAACAATAACTGGTCCGTTGTCATTGTTCGTTTTTTTGGACCAGATACAAAATTAAGTTTTGACTGGTTCAAATTCATTAAGGCGATACAGGACTTTTTAATTACGTATGACAGTATATTCTATGATATAGGAAGTGATATTGTATTCTTAAAACTTTGAGATTGGATGGTTATCTTTTTCTCTTGATAGTTTCAGTTTGTATATGAATAATTTTCTTGGTATAATAAGGATAAAAATTAATTTTGATTATTATACTTAATCTGATTTTTTCTCTTTTCGTGTTAATATTTCTATCAACACTTCTTTTGTCTTTCAGATTCTTTTTTATACAAAATAACTCTATCAGTTGTGAGTTTCAGTAGAAGGTTGTAAATAGATATTGGTTTGATGAATAAGAAAAACAATTTTTATAGTAATTTTAGCATTTTAGAAATTTTAGTTATTTTATTTCTATGAAAAAATGCCATGTTGCATAAAATACTTTGCAAAGAGTTTTAAGTCATAGAATAAGAAGATTAGGAATTCATAAGGTATTCGTTCAGATGATACAAATTTTAAAGAGTTTTTTTGTGTATAATAAATTTGGCCATATGAGGAGAATTTGTATTTCTAGATTTGAACAGGTTTAAGGATTACCTAAGTAATTAATGTATTTAGATAAAAAGAAAAGTTGTACCATATTAAAGTCTCATTTTGATATTTCATAAGAAATTTATAATGTACTTATATCTGCATGCCTTTTTCAATAAAGATGGCATTTTTCTATAAAATGAGTTTCTTCTTTCTATTGGTTTTTGCATCAAAGCAATTTTAAATTGCCTTGTGGTAGCATATTCACCAATAAGGCAGGAAGTCTGGAGTTCAATCTAAAGACTTGAACATTGATATTTGCTGATTCTCCCCATGAACAAAGCATTTTGAACTAGCAGTTGGAATAATTTGTATGGGTAGTGTGACACGTCTTCCTTTGGACTATTGTTTGAGAAATAATTCCTTCATGTCACGAGGTGTAAAATATCAACAAATATAATGCCTACCCATGTTAAAATGTGCATAGAGCATGATGTTCGATTCTAATAAGACAGAGTATTTATAGGTCGAACATACGAAAATTCCTTCCCATGAATTATGCACATTACATTTAAATATTACTAAAAGCAGGGTAAATATATGATGTTTTAAGTAACATATAATTACAATTTTATGTAAGCAGCTATGGAAGAATCAATGTTGACGTTCAGCTACCACTGTATGTTAAGTCCGTCAATCTGATATATGTGTATGTGGAATATAGTAACTCGCCGGACATGGCTGTGTATCAATACACATTAAATAAAATATGTGTCCTTGTATCTTATCTGAGAATTTCCGGTGGTTCTCTCCAGGCACTCCGGCATCCTCCACCAATAAAAACTGACTGCCTCGAAATAGCACAACAGTGTTGTAAGTGGCGTTAAAACAATCAATCAATCTGAGAAGTTCTGGATCTTATCAATCCTGTAAGTATATCGATTGATATGAACGTCATATTGTTGGGTATACCAAATTCTCAACGAAACCTCTTTCCAAACTATTACTCGGACTTCTTTTAAACAGGATTTTACTGTGCGTATTGCTGTGTGTTTGTTTATTCCACATTGCCTAGAGGTATAGGGGGTAGGGTTGAGATCTCACAAAACATGTTTAACCAGCTACATTTTTGTGTCTGTCCCAATCCAGGAACCTCTGGACTTTGTAAGTCTTGTATGTTTTTTTTTTTTAATTTTGGTTCATTTATATGTTCGGAGTTTAGTGTGACGTCCATTTTCGCTGAACTAGTATACATTATTGTTTAGGGGTCACCTGACGGAAGCGGGATTTTCTTGCTGTGTTGAAGACCCATTGGTGGCCTTGGGCTGTTTTCTGCTCTTTTGTCAGGTTGTTGCCTTTTTGACGTATTCCCCGTTTTCATTCTCAATTTTGTTTACATCAATTATATCAGTAATTAAAGCTGGCTTCAGATTTGCTGTGAGGCTTCCTACTCAAAAAAGTATAACAAAAAATACAGAACTCCAAGGCAAATTCAAAAAGGAGAACTCCTTAAAAACTGACAATATCACACAACAGAACAAGTTAAAACAACTGCCATATTCCTGACTTGGTACAGGCATTTCCAAAAAAAATATGCTGGGTTAAGCCTGGTTTTATAGCTAGCTAAACCTCCAACTTGTATGACAGTTGTTTATAGTTCAGTTATATGTGGGGTGGGGCAATAGGGGGTCCGTTAACATTTTAACAACACCTCGATTTTGGCAATAACAGTTAACAACAAACATAAAATGCTGATAACAGTTATCACCAATTTTAACTGAATAACAGATAACAGTGGTGTAAAAACTTCAATAACACTTAACAACCATATTAAAAAAGTTATCACCAATTTTAACTGAATAACAGATAACAGTGGTGTAAAAACTTCAATAACACTTAACAACCATATTAAAAAATCAAACAATGTTAAGGTATTTGATTTATCTATCCGAATTTGAGGAATTTTCAAAACAAAACAGTGGGTGTCTTGCAAAAAGCAGGAAATGCTCACTCTTTCCAAGCACCTTAGTGTTTTCATTAAGTTTTGGAATAAGAGAAAATAATTTCAGAAAAGCAGGCAAAATCATTTTGGCGAGGGGTCTGGGGCCGCATAAGGCCCCCAGTAGGTCTTTGCCCTGGTAGGGGGTCCAGGGGGGCGAAGCCCCCCACCCGAAAAGAGATTTATCAAATTTTAAGTCATTTTTCAGGGCCTCCCTGCTCTCAAAAATAGTCATTCATGACTTCAAAATTGATTATTTTTAAACAATATTTTGACTGTAGCCATATTTAAAGTCAGTGTCAAGTTGCATGGCCTGAATATATATTTCTGAACATTTTCCTGTCGGTTGGCTGTTAGAAATGCATTGTTTAACTGAAAGAATCCAAAGATTAGTACTCTATTGTGTTTTTCTTGAATTATTACGTGTATAATAGTTTTAAATAGAATTCATTGATAACATTAATGTATGCTTTATTATTTCAATAAATCGTTGTCAAATCCTATCCCAGCACCCTAACTCCATAGACCACAAGGGGTTTCGAACATCTATTTAGACCAATTAGAATAAAATAATTGACCATGTCCATCGTCAAGAGCCCAAGCCTTTGCATGGTGACCCTTAATCTTTAAATACTGTAATTTTTATAAGGCGCTCGACACCTCGTGATCTGTTTGACTAATACTTTTCTATACTCTTTCTTTTCTGTCCATGTTTATTAATTTAACAAAAATGGTATAGAATATATTTTCATAATTTGCAACATATTAATTACCAAGACTTGCAGATGTTACTGTGTCTTTCAAGTTGTTATGCCTACGGAAAGCGAAAAGAGGTCTTTTATCAAATAAAAGTTTTGCCTCTTTGTCAACTTTTATTTATCCCAGTGTCATAAAATATTGTTCTTTAAGTGTGTTTTCTGTCTTGAAAATACTGCGGAGAATACTAAGTGATGCGACTGTAATACAGGTTTGGGTTTAACCATTAATGTGCCATTTCTTTGTTTTGCATTCACCTCCTGTATAACAGTTTTAATTTCATTTTCTTTATATCCCCTTTTAATAAGGCGTTCAGGAAATAACACATAATAATGTGTTTGCAAATCTACAGGATCGGTCGAACATCACTAAAGCGAAGAATTTCTCCTTAATTATGCCTCTGGAAGTAGAGGATGGATGGCATGAGGACCTCTCTAAGTACTGATAATTTTCATTTTTTTTTCGGAAAAACAGTTAACAGAGACAAATTATGTCAAAAACAGTGAACATATTAAGTGTCAAGTAACAGATAACAGGAATCCCATTTTCATATAAAACAGTAAACAACATTGCCAATTTTAACAGAACAGATAACAAACAGTGGGTTGAAAACAGTTAACAGTTTATACATATTTCAAAAAACAGTTAAGAACACCTTGAAATAGCCCAAAACAGGTTAATCTTTCTACCACTTATCTTTCAGTGCGTTTAACAAGTTCCTTAACTACTATCAAAGAGCTTATCATAAACTATTGTAATAAAACATATGAAAATAGTGGAATTAACTATTTTTGGAGTGTAAAAAATTCTTTCGATGTTTTAGATAAATTACGTGCTTTTGATGGTCCTTTTGATTCTGTTGACAGTTTTGACTTTTCTACTCTTTACACTACACTTCCACACAATCTTATCAAACAAAAATTTGACTATTTAATTAAATGGTCGTTTGGTAAATCTGAATGCAAATATATTTGCTGCAACTCATTTAAAGCCTTCTTCTCTAATGAGAAAGGTAAATATGCTAGATATACTTACTGGAGGTGTGATGAGATGATTGAAGCTGTTAATTTTCTCCTTGATAATATTTATGTACGTTTCGACAGCAAAGTTTATCGACAGGTTGTAGGTATTCCTATGGGCACTAATTGCGCCCCTTTAATAGCAGACTTGTTTTTGTACTGTTATGAATCACAGTTTATGACCAAACTCAGCAAAGACCCGTCTAAATTGCACTTAATTGATAAATTCAACAACACTTACCGTTATCTTGATGATATTTTTTCGTTAAATAATCAAGAATTTTCTCAATATATTGCCGAAATTTACCCAAAAAAACTTACTTTAAATAAATCAAATTTAAACGGAAACAACTGTCCTTTCCTAGATTTAGATATTTCGGTTTTACACGGGAAACTCCACACTAAAATTTACGACAAAAAGGACGTTTTTTTCGTTCCCTATTGTTAATTTTCACTTTTTGGATGATGATGTTCCTTTGGCACCATCTTACGGTGTTTATATTTCACAACTCGTTCGCTATGCCCGTGTCTGTTGTGACGTTTTTGATTTTAACGAACGTAATCTATGTACTACTGGTAAATTATTAAGCCAGGGATTTCGTTACCACAAATTATTTAAAACCTTTACTAAATTCTTCCACAGATATAAAGATTTGGTTTTGAAGTTTGGTTGTACCTGTAGAAAACTTATTTCAAACGGGATTGCACATCCTCATTTTTACGGCAATATTGTTTACCGTGCCCAGAAATTTAGAAACGATCCTGGTAAACTTATCGATCGTTTAAATAAACTTATTCTAAAAGGTTATCAATTCAACACTGTAATTAGATCATTAAATATTGTTTTTATTGGTACTGATATTGATTTTGTTATCAGTAAATTAAAAGCAAACTAAATATTATTGTTATATACATATACACATTCATGGATCTACAATCTGTCGATACCTGTATCTTGGCATTGTACAAGGTCATGTTTTTCTCTGACTGTTTATGACGTCTTTACACTAAATCCATTGGATGTTGGATGTGTACGGATTGATAATTTAGTCCTAGGTGCATGATTTTTTTTATTAGTGGTTAGTGGCTTTGAACTAGCTGTCAGTAACTGCGAGTACTCTCAGATCTGTACTTAGTGTCTTTTTGTTGTTTGGATGTACAAGTACCCGGCCACGTCCACTTGTAATTGTACTATTTGTATTTTTATCCATCTGATGAGTTAAGCCTCTTCCAACTGATTTTTATAGTTCGTTCTTATGTTGTACTGTTACACCACTGTCCCAGGTTAGGGGGAGGGTTGGGATCCCGCTAACATGTTTAACCCCGCCACATTCTGTATGTATGTGCCTGTCCAAAGTCAGGAGCCTGTAATTCAGTGGTTGTCGTTTGTTTATGTGTTACATATTTGTTTTTCGTTCATTTTTTGTACATAAATTAGGTCGTTAGTTTTCTCGTTTGAATTGTTTTACATTGTCATTTCGGGGCCTTTTATAGCTGACTGTGCAGTATGGGCTTTGCTCATTGTTGAAGGTCGTATGGTGACCTATAGTTGTTAATTTCTGTGTCATTTGGTCTCTTGTGGAGAGTTGTCTCATTGGCAATCATACCACATCTTCTTTTTTATATAACATAAAAAGGTATTGCCCCCTCTTATATTGACAAAATTGGGTAAGAAACCCAAACAGACATACCAGGTTAAAGGGACCATAATTGGGATCCAGCAGCCATGCAAAACTGTGTAGACATACATCACAGATATACAAAACAACTGACTATAAAAATCAAACAAATAATTCTAACAAAGACGCCAACAAAAAATTGAAAAAAAGACAAAAGATACCAAAAGGATATTCAGATAGTACATACTGTATATAATATATACTTTCTCGATAAAGTAAAAATTAAGTTAATACCCAGAATATCACTCCAATATTGATGTACCTTTTAAACAATCAACAAAAGGGTTAAAATGTAATACTAAAAAGTGTGTTTCAGAAGAATATGAAAAGACTACTTTAAATTATCTTTCAAAATTAGATTCCTCATCCAAACTTTGTCTTTATGGGAAATTCAAAACTAATTGTCAGTCTGAGGAATATTTAAATTGCAATAATTTTATACATAGGCAGTTACTGTCAAAATTTAGACTTAGTGATCATTCTCTAGGCATTGCATTGGGTAGATATAGAAACATTCCAAGCGCACAACGATTATGTAAAAAATGTGGAGTCCTAGATGACGAATTTCATTTCTTTTTGTATTGTGACATTAACATAGCATTGCGTTCAAATTTGTTTGCTTATCTAAAAGACTACGTACCATTATTTCAACTTCTTGATGCATTTAATAAACTAAAACACGTTCTAGATAAACCCCACCCCTGAACTTGTTTGGCAAATTGGAGTCTTCATTAAGCAGTCTTTAGAATTGAGGGGTCAGACCCATGTCAGACAACTTTATAATTGTGTTTTTTTTCATAAAGGAGTAGGTCCGGTAAGGGCCGATTTTGGCCTCAAAATTCAAGTTCATTTGATGAAAGATTTTGGACACTTTTTAAACACTTAAGTGTCTTCTTCAGTCGATTCAATTAGTTTATGTGAAAGATTTGAACTGATTTAGTCATTAAAGACGCTCAAATTCAAGCTTAGATATGAAAAATCTATCAAATATGCCATAATATGTCACTTTTCAGATGGTTTTTGTCAAAAATGAAAGTGGCCGCATCCGTGTTCATTCTCAACTTTTAAATATGTTATGTATTATCATCAAATATACAACTTACATTTAAATATTAAGAATGAACACAAATGCGGCCACTTCCATTTCAGACGGAAACCGTCTAAAAATTAACCAAAATGCTAAAATTTTGAAGATTTCAGTAATTTAGCATGACTTAATGATGTTAGTACCCGATACTTGTGCATTGTATTATCAAAAACAGCCCATATTTATGTTACAGAAGTATTCTTCTTTTCAACAAATAGCTAAAAATTTACATTTAAAGAATTTTGTAAAACTGCTATATTTTGGGGCCAAAAAGGGGTCTTACTGGGCCTACTCCTTTGTTAATTGAACTGTTTCTTAAAATATGTTCTATTGTATTCCATTGTATTGTATTTAATTGTATTGTTTGTTTGTATTGCTTTGGCCTTTATGGATGTAATTTTGCAATAAAAGATTATAAAGATAAATGGGTAAAATAAATAGAAACAACAATGTTAAAATCCTATGTGTCCGAATCGCACCTCAAGACCAAACTGCACCAGGAATGCCAAAGTTAAAAAGAGACAAAAACCTGATGGCGGGATGCATAAATACCGAGTCACGTCAAAAAATCGTACAACCAAAAGAAACATTATAGCAAGTAGACAACGGGGAAACTAAAGTGAAATAAAAAGATTCACAACTTCAGCATCTATAACTCAACACCATCGTGTATTATTTGTGAAGTAGACACTGAATATTTATCTATTAGGTCTTGGTTCGTATTGAGAAAAAAGGATGAGACGTTCTTTAACAAAAACCCTGGCTCGTTAATTTTTTTGCTCATACACCAATGACGTTTTATAAAGCATGAGTAGCAGCTGCAAGCTCTTGAATTTCGTATGAGAGGAGATGTAGATATTACAAAATATTCAAAGATCTGTTAAACTGCATACAATCGGAGTCTCTTTCCTCCTGAAACGGTATACACACAAAAATGACTTCTCTAAACCCTTTACACTAGTATTCCCCATTCTAAACCTAAAAAAATGATTGGAGAAATTAGCCCTTTGTTCCATTAAAAAAAATGCCAAAGTAGATACAAATATCATGTTTTAGTCCAGGAAAAATCATACTTTGTCAAAACACTCCCGATTCAAACAAAAAAATCTCGAGGACTGGCATCAAGATGCTTTATTTCTTGTGTGACAACATATTTGTTAATTCTGAAGGAAGAGTTTTCAAGATACAATCGGCATTATTATAGGAACCAACTGCTCTTCTTTGCTTCTTGTTCCTTTAATCACTTGAGACAGACTTCACAAAGAAGCTCATCAGGAAGAACAAAATAAAGCTAGCCTAATCCCTTAACCTTACGCTCTGCTGTTAAGATGTCCTCTTCTTTAATGATACAGTTGTGTGACTTTGTTAAACGTATTCCATCGAACTGAAAAAAAGGATGCAACAGATATACAGCTAATTCTGCTTCATATTTTGACTTAAGGCGTGAACGGGGAAGGATGGCCAAATTGTGATATCGACAAATGGGACAAATCTTTGGTCACCAATAATAGTCATGATGGCTCCCGTAAAACTTACAAAGAAGCAACTTCAAATTGAATGAAATGATATTTGAGGTATGCATAAGACAGCTACCCACCGACACAAAAACAAAGGACATTTATTTCTTTAAAGGAGTTTCGGTGAACTTACCTTAGTTTACTGTGTTCTACTTTGTATTTTTCAGTGTTTTTTTCTTCTTCTTTAGTTTACACGGTTGTTTATCTGTTCCCAAAGGAACGTTCACATTGGTTCATAAATTAGAGTTAGAGAATTCACATGCATGTATGTACCGGTGATTTTTAAATTCACCCGGGCCGAGTTCAGTCAAGTTTTGAGGGAATACTTCTGGCTTAATCTGGATGTAAGTTTGACTTTCTGTTATGGTGATGTCTGTCCTTTTCCACATCATATTTTATCCCCTCTCTCTGTGTCTTTTAATTGAATTCCCTTTTAAAAGACTTGACTCAGTATGTTCGAGTATCAAATTTTCTATCAAAACATTTTAATAGAAAACGCAAGCTTTGAAAAACCGACGAAACGAGTTAAAAATATCAAATACAGTAAAACCTGCTAAAGAGAGAAACCTCTATTGAGCAAATATCTGACTTATCTGGTCAACATGTACTTGTCCCTTTGTAGTAATACCATCGTATTTTGAATCGTAATTCAAATGATATCTCTCATATAAGGTCAGTTTTCTCTGGTCATAAGGGACATGTCCTTTATATACAGGTTTGACTGTATGTTGTCAATGAAAATCTTATTCCCTCTAAGATCTGACCTGGTTATAACGAAAAGGGAAAAGGCATTTCGACAGTATCATGGATATATTATATACTGGTTGTGTATTAGACCCCCGGCATCTCCCCCACCACGTATAAGGCTTGGAGAAAATATAAAAATAAAAACAAAATTCTTATTTTGATAAAACGTTACAAATAGACAGCAGCAACATGCAAATCAAGTACAAAAATACAAATTTTATTTGCACTGACATAAGAGTCTTTTTTTTTCTCATCCACACTTTTCAGAAAACAGAGTTTCACTTTCATCTACCGTTTTCAATGATTCGTTTTGTTTGACTGGAAGCGAAAAATCATTTATCGTATTTTTTAAGGCTAAATTGTTCGTTTCTTTTAAAAGAAGAAGACAGAATGCTGACATGGTGAAAAACCCGCCAAGCAGCAAGAACATTATCCCTGGTAAACGATAGCTCTGAAAAAAAGAATATATTGATGAATGACATTTGGTATTCACATACTAGCCTAGTAATATATAAGATTTCTAGAAAGTCGTTTTCGGGGATTATTAAATTTTCAAACTGTGAACAAGAAAAATTTTGTATTGCACGTTTTTGTCCAGGTTTTTGTTTAGTCGTTAATGGTTGTTCACTTTCTTCTACTGTTTAAAAATCACGGAAAGACGTATTTTGAAACGAATGTAATCTTTGCTTCGCGAATTTAAGACGATGTAGGGTAAATCATTTCTGATCCTTTCATGAAGGTGTTGGTTTTAATTTTTTTCTATCCTGTTCATTTATTTGAAATTATTTTGAGCTTAGAGTTGAAACCCCATGTTTTCAATATTTGTCTACAAATTATATAGATGTGATGTATGCGTCAATCAAACAGCGACCCAACGACAAAAGAAGCCATAAAGACACACTTTATTGTCAACATTAGAAAAGCGTACATACTATTCAATTCCTAATAATAGCACACTTTCTTCAAAAACAAACGGCAAACATATGTTCTTTGAAATTGAAATACATAGTTTTAATTCATCCCAAACTATATCTATTTCAACCAGAAGCAATGAAAAAGACGAAAGCATAACATCCTGGCCTGGCCGGGATAGATAGAAATAATGTTAAATCATACTTACTGCAAATATTAATTGAGGTGCTATCATAGAACCAACTCGTGACATGGTATTATTGAATCCAAAGCCTATATTTCTGTGAAAATATAAATATTTGGTTATAATGTATGATATATAACTTTAGAATAGAAGAACGTTGAATTAATTCAATCTTTACACAAGTTTGACACAGTGATGGATACAGGACTTGAGTAAAAAAAGGGCGAAGCTAGGGGTGTTATTGTTCGTAATGATAAAAATAGCAGACCGTTTCAGAATTTAAATAACGACGTTTTTGGTCATATTGCAATATCAAAATAACTTCACGTCATTGGTTAAATGGCCGTTGTTTAGGAACTTGCAAACCAATCGTGAAACGTTTACGTGAATGTGGGACGATGTAGAGCGTTACTAGCTGTAGAGACAATTTACATATTGTTAGAGCCTGTACGTTGACCTGTATATGTTCATTTGTATCAGTGGGTTGCTGTCTAAATTAAGTTTACTCTACACTCACATTTATTCATATAAACTAACATAAAACAGTCATTTAATACATGTATGTACCTTACAACGGTGGGATACAACTCTGACGTAAATATTATCAACGCCATCCAGCCACACGCAACACACAGTTTACATGTCAAAGCTAAACCATTTATCAAAGCACCCTCATGTGATAAGTCTGCAAAAGATAAAGCATTCAAAATTATTTAAAAAAATGAAAAGGAAACAAACCGAAAAATTTTCAAAACATTGATACATTGAATTTATATTTTTTTTATGGCGTTGAGATACAAAAATGCAAAACTGAATATACGTAACTTATAATTTATCAGTTTAATTTATTTGAAATAACATAAACCGTACCAATGCTACTGCACCACGTGACCATTTCGACAAAACATGTCTCTTAAGTGATTCTCGAGGCCAACTTGAATATTTGAAAATTCAAATCTTGTTCAAAAATTGAAGAGCTAATAAAACCAAAAGTTCAAAACCGGGCAAGGAGTTTAGAGCTTTGCATGAGTTACATATTTTCCTCAATATAAAATAATTTCAAAAATATTGTAACAGCAAATTCCAATAACACAATATCCGAATTTTCATGCCAGTACCGGAGTACTGGCTACTGGGGTGGTAATACTCTCGGGACTAACAGTCCACAAGCAGAGGTAGCAACCCAGATTTAGAAATAACAAAAACATGGTTCCAATTTTACTTCACCAGATGCAATTTATTAGTATCATGCACTTAACACGCATGATTAAATACCCGTATATGAATACATACAATACTTAATTTATCAAATCTAATGTATAACTCCAATGTTCGCGTACTAATGAATTATAATTAAGGAATGACTGTAATATTTTTTCTGTCTATGAAGAAATAACATAAAAAATATGGTGAACACTGAATAACACACGTAGCGGGTTATTTAAAAGTGTGCACCACATTTTTTTATGTTATTTCGAATAGACAGAAAAAATATTAAAGTCATTTCTTATAATTTAATTCTAAAAAGGAGTAAATCATGATAAAAACGTTGATGACGTCGCGGTCACATGACAAAATTATGTCTATGAGCTGATAGACAAAACACTTTCAGCCAATCAGAAGACGTGTTACATCCAAAATTAAATTATTCGCTCATAAATGAATGCCATAGAACATTTTAGAAATTATTAACATACTGAGGTTCCTACTCCCTCAGTCAGAGTTTACCTTAGTTGGACTTTGATATTCGTTTTAAGTCCCTTTCAGTCATGCTAATACATTATTGGGTGTCCTGATTAAGGTTAGAAAAGGAAAGCACAAAATGCAACAGATTTATAAGAATAACTTTCATTTTACATAACAAGGTATCATTCCTATAAGTATAATGCCTTCAGAAATAACGAAAACGTTAAAATCACTCGAATCATCTGTTTTATTTGTCACAATTGGAGCAGTGACTGCTTCCCCTTCAGATGCATCTGAGATCATCCGGGGTTTTTAGTGATGGTCGTGCTGCTCGATCTTGCTTATTCTGTAACCCGAATAATTTAGACCCTCCTCGTGATCGACTCACCTCCTACGTTAATGAAGCCATCGTAAAGCAAACATGTCGATTGAATAACCGTATTCGGGTTACGTATTCCGTTGATTGTCGACTGAATTACCGTATTCGGGTTACGTATTCCGTTGATTGTCGACTGAATTACCGTATTCGGGTTACGTATTCCTTTGATTGTCGACTTAATTACCATATTCGGGTTACGTATTCTGTTGATTGTCGACTGAATTACCGTATTCGGGTTACGTTTTCTGTTGATTGTCGACTGAATTACCGTATTCGGGTTACGTATTCTGTTGATTGTCGACTGAATTACCGTATTCGGGTTACGTATTCTGTTGATTGTCGACTGAATTACCGTATTCGGGTTACGTATTCTGTTGATTGTCGACTGAATTACCGTATTCGGGTTGCGTATTCTGTTGATTATCGTCTGAATTACCGTATTCGGGATACGTATTCTGTTGATTGTCGACTGAATTACCGTATTCGGGTTACGTATTCCGTTGATTGTCAACTGTTTGTTAATTTTTTTCTTGGTCAAGATGTTGTCTTCAACACATTGATTTTGTTCCTGCCTTATTGTCTTCTCCCTTTTTTTATATCATAAATATCATAACTGGAAATATAATATCCAGGAATAATAGACCAAAATAAATAGTTTTTAAATGGTTGTGGTATGGACCTAAATTACTCTGCATTATTATATATAGTACATACCTAGGAACTGAACAATTCCAATAGTTATACCAGTTATACCAGACAACAAAAAGAACACAAAAGATGCTTTTTTCCTTCCAATGCTGAAAAGAAAATATTCAATTCAACAGTTGATAACGATGACAAAAATGTATTGATAAAAAGGGCTGCGGTTTTGGAGTGTGATAAAGGTTGAGTTGTAGATTCCCTTCTAGGTCTATCAAGAACTGTAAAAAAAAAAATAAAACAAAAAAACAACAAAAAAACAAAAACAAAATGATTAAAAGAAAGTTTGTTTTAAAAAAAACCAAACGGAGAATGTGTCCATGGGACACAGATGATGCCCCGCTTGCATATAACGTTATAAAGGGGACATAACTTAAGAACTGTAAAAGTGACACAACCCAAATTCGGACTTGATCTGTGTTTTGTGATAATAAACATTGTGTATAAGTTTCATAACAGTTAATTGAGGCAAACTAAAGTTAGAGAACGGAAATTTTTGGGACGTACGTACGAACGGACGGACTGACGTACAGACGGACAAGGGTAACATTTAATGCCCCCTCCGTTGCGGCGGGGGCATAAAAAATGGTTTTCATGATTGAAACGAGTACAGTTTATGCTGATCAAGGAACGCAGAAATGAATAGCCGCACACTTAGACTAAGGTTTGATGTTGTTAATTCTTTAGATTTTATCATTTTGAACTGGTGATCAATATCGATTGACCGCTATTGAAAGTATGATCCTATTGTATTTATATTGTTCTATATAGGTGTAATGCGTTATCATGGATCATTTTTAACAAAGACTATGATATAATAACGAATATGTTAATGATCGTTTTACTTCCTATATATTGTCTTACCAGTTTGCGAAGTAACACACAACAAATGAAGTGGACTCCATGAGACCAAGTAGAGCCATATTGAGATACAGATTTCCAGACAGCTGTGCGACTCCGAACGAGATTGCATAAAACCCGTATCCACAGGAAACCCTGCGTGAATATATGAAACATATATTGTTTCCATAATACTTTATCAATACTAGTAACATCATACTAATATGGTGTGCTACAGACATCTATCTATGAGAAATGACGAAATTTTGTAATTACATTTTTCTCTCTCCAATTTTAGGAACACTACAGTACCGCATATTATTGACCAGCTTATAATTATAAAATAAATTTACCAATGAATCAAAGTAAAATATATCGCATTTTCAACTCCTCAGAAACTAATGCAGATATGCACAGAGACACAAGTCTGGAAGATTTACAAAAAACGAAAGTTTCTGTATAAATATGCTTGGTTTTCCCGTTTGAATGGTTTAACACTAGTAATTTTTGGGGCTCTTTATAGCTTGCCGTGCGGTGTTAGTCAAGGCTCCGTGTTGAAGACCGTACTTTGACCTATAATGGTTTACTTTTATAAATTGTGACTTGGATGGAGAGTTGTCTCATTGGCACTCATACCAGATCTTCTTATATCTATTAGGTGAAATTTTACAGTATCATCAAATGTGGTTGGCGATGATTCGGAACTGCTGTTTCTGAATACTATGTATATTCGTGTAGCTAATAGCCTAATAAAAAAAATCAGAGAAGAACGCCATAAAATCGACATAAGAATACATTCCACATCGAAATAAGAAGATGTGGTTCGATTGCCGATGAGACAACCTTCCACCATACCAAATAATGTAGGGTTCGGCTACTACAGCTCGCCATACGGCCTTCAACGATGAACAAACCCATTACAGCATAGCAAGCTATAAAAGGCACCGACATGAAAAATGTAAAATATATCAAACTAAAAAACTAACGGCCTAATTTATTTATAAAACAATAAACAAATATGATATAAAAGAGAGGCGAAAGATACTAAAGGGACATTAAAACTGCTCACAAGTCGAAACAAACTGACAACGCCATGGCAAAAAAAAAAAAAGAAAAAGACCAAAAGACAAACAACAGTATACTAAACACAACATGGAAAACTAAAGACTGAGCAATATATATAAAGCAACCAACGACAACCACTGAACTACAGTCTCCTGACTTGGGACAATCACATACAGACTGCTGTGGGTTTAAACATGTTTGCGGAAGCATTGTCCACAGCTGTAACAGCACAACAAAAGAACAAAAAAAAAAAAAAATCAGGGCTATCTGTTTTTGAGCACCTGACTTCTTAAAATTTTCATCACGAGGTTATTCCAGAAAAGAGAGTTTTAACTAGCTATAAAACCAGGCTTTATCCACCATTTTCTACATAAATAAATGCCTGTACCAAGTCAGGAATATGACAGTTGTTTTCCATTCGTTTGATGTGTTGGAGCTTTTGATTCTGCCATTTGATAAGGTTTTGAATTTTCCTTGAAGTTCGGTATTTTTGTTATTTTACTTTTTATACACATAAATCTATATATTTTTATTTTTTAACAATCAGGCTCCTGATATATTCAAACTCAAATTATATATAGCATACATACCAGGTAAAAGACAGCAATGCAGTGACTTTTAATAGATGCTTATTCCTCAGGATGTCAAGCAAAGTATATTTTCTCTCCTTTGCCACGTGTTCATTAAGATTTACTATGTCAATTAATTTCTGTTTATTGGGAGGTGATCTTCCATTTATTCTCGCTATTTTAATCATCACTTCATATGCTTCATCAATTCTTCCGTGTGATATAAGCCATCGATAACTTTCAGTTATTAAGCTAAAAAATATATGATAACATTTTATATTTGGAATATGATTTATTATATAGTTTTCTTGAGGTAAACGGGTACCACCAATGGAGCGGGAGCGGGAGCTGATGACTAATGTGTATTTTTCGTATTAATGAGGGTATGGATGGGTGTTTACAGAATAGAGAATAATGGGCGAAAATACAAATAGAGAAAAATGGACCAAAAATTATAGAAAATAGAATAATTGGGTGTTAAAATATAAAGAATAGAGAAAAACCATTCAGACCCTCATTTATCCCTTTTTACCAGCTGTTTTATATAGCCTGTTTCCATTAAGACCATTAACTGCATCCTTTCTATCTCCTTTCTTTTGAAATTGTGTATGACTTTTACGAAATGAAATGTTTTCCATTTTGTTAATCCACACAACCTCATTTGTTTTGAATAAATTAAGGATTTTTTTTTTGCGGTCCGGTTTTCTTATTTTAAAAGCCACGAAAGTAGCAATCGAAATAGCATATCACACCATTACATTTTCTCACAAAGATAGGCATCTTTTACAAAGTAATCGAAAGAAAAATAGGTCCATTTGATAAGAACACGTGCTCCTGATATCTGCATAACCCAAACAAGTACAGGTGAACCAGTATATTTGATATACCGTAGTTACTTATGATAAAAATGTTAATATTCAAATGGGTACCTTATGTGCGCTTCTGCTAGTCGACTTGTTTTTATACTATTATAGATCAGAGTTTCGCACTTTCTTAAAGACTTTAGGATAAGAAAATTAACAGAATTCTTTAATTTTAGCTTTTGATATCTGTTTATCTAATAATTACTGTTTTCAGTGAATATTCACATCTTGTATCATTGTAAATTTGAAATTAAGAACACTATAGGCAAAGTTTGATAGTGTATATTTTGACAGTAAAAGCAATTTTTTTTTTGCACCATTTTTGTAAACTTCAATCAGCAATCCTCAGGTGAATCCGCTACTCACCTTGAGTAATGGATTCGGCCGAGTTTAGACTTATACAAATTTACAAAGTAATAATTACCCTATTCCTAGAAACCACGGAAGACAAAAAATTGCATTAGCAATCTGTATATATTTCCAATCATGCAAGAAATAGCATATGAGTCCATTGGACATGGCACCAATCGGCCACACTGGTAAGGATAGAATTACAGATCTATATTTGATAGGTATTAATTCTGCCAGATATGTAATATCTATTGTCAAGTACCATCCACAACCAACACCCACAAGGAATCGCACGACAGCAAACATGTGCCAACTTGTAGAAAAGGCTCCGACAACATTGAAAACAAGAAGTATTATTATTGATACGTAATACGTCTTTTTTCTTCCGTACAAATCGCCTACTTGGCCGGAAACGAATGCGCCGATAAGTAGTCCAAACATCTGTATTGTTGTTATTGATGACACGATCCAATACTTGTCACATACTAAATCCCACTGCAATATACAATATAATGTTTTAAATAAAATTCTAATAAAAATAAGAAGATGTGGTATGACTGCCAATGAGACAACTCTTCACAAGAGACCAAATGACACAGAAATTAACAACTGTAGGTCACTGTACGAAATTAGTCTAAGTTAATGATACAAATCAATGTAATAAAAAAATAAAATTGAGAATGGAAATGGGGAATGTGTCAAAGAGACAACAACCCGACCTAAGAGCAGAAAACAGCCGAAAGCCACCAATGGATTTCAATACAGCGAGAAAATCTCGCACCGGAAGCGTGCTTCAGCTGGCCCCTAAACAAAAATATGTACTAGTTCAGTAATAATGTACGTCATACTAAACTCCGAAATATATAAAAGAAACTAAAATTGAAAATCATACAAGACTAACAAAGGCCAGAGGATCCTGACTTGGGACAGGCGCAAAAGCGCGGCGGGGTTAAACATGTTTTGTGAGATCTCAACCCTCCCCTATACCTCTAGCCAATGTAGAAAAAACAAACACACAGCAATACGCACAGTAAAACTCAGTTTAAAAGAAGCCCGAGTAAATACTCTGTGTAATCTGGAAATGCACTCCTTCAATTTTGGTAGCCAACATCCCAAAATCTTAAAAACAATACGTACTCAAGATCCGTGTTCAATTCAAGTCGATTACATTTGTGTGACGATAACCGTTTACTCTTTCTCAAATGTTACGGATTTTATAGGTTTCAAATCATGACTTCATTTACGTTTTTCATACATAACAAAATTAATGCTTTACATAAAATTGAGAATGGAAATGGGGAATGTGTCAAAGAGACAACAACCCGACCACAGAGCAGACAACAGCCGAAGGCCACTAATGGGTCTCCAATGCAGCGAGAAACTCCCGCACCCGGAGGCGTCCTTCAGCTGGCCCCTAAACAAATATGTATACTAGTTCAGTGATAATGGACGTCATACTAAACTCCAAATTATACACAAGAAACTAAAATTAAAAATGATACAAGACTAACAAAGGCCAGAAGCTCCTGACTTGGGACAGGCGCAAAAATGCGGCGGGGTTAAACATGTTTTTTGAGATCTCAACCCTCCCCCTTTACCTCTAGCCAATGTAGAAAAAAAAACGTACAGCAGTACGCACAGTAAAACTCATGTATACCTAATTCGTTATATTTTTACTCTTAAATCATGACATCATGTCGAACTTTCGTGACCGAAAAACTGTATCTCTACTCGATATTAAACTCTTTTCCGTCATACTAAACTAGCCATGGAAATTTATGACAAATATGTAACATTCGTCTTGTTATTTGAATTAGGAAAAAATAACATTTCTCTCCCTGTTGTCGCTCATATATAGATATAAGAAGATGTGGTATGAGTGCCAATGAGACAACTCTCCATCCAAGTCACAATTTGTAAAAGTAAACCATTATAGGTCAAAGTACGACCTTCAACACGGAGCCTTGTCTCACACTGAACAGCAAGCTATAAAGGGCCCCCAAAATGACTAGTGTAAAACCATTCAAACAGGAAAACCAACGGTCTAATCTATATAAGAAACGAGAAACACTTATGAACCACATCAACAAACGACAACCACTGAACATCAGGTTCCTGACTTAAGACAGGTGCAAACAATTGCAGCGGGTTTAAAAGTTTTAATAGGCGCCAATCTTCACCCTACCTGAAACAATAGTGTAACATCACAACATAGAAAGACACTCTATAAAATATCAATTGAAATGATCTCTTTAATAAACACCTACATTCATACCTCAGATACGATGGTATTCATCGATGCATCAAATTGTCTTGAAACACAATCGAGCTTTTCTGTTGTATTCTCCAAGCTACACTTTTTATCAAACGTGGCGTTAGGCATAAATGTTTCTCCAGATTCTGTATGCCATTCGCATGACCAGTCAGGCATAACTCCACCAAAAGCCATCATTAAAACACTCCATGCAACTGTTGCTTTACTTCCAAGGACGACTAATGTTAGTATAAACTGGTACCGTCCTAAACCTCCAAGGTCTGTCAATACCGATTCCAAATATTCATTTAATTCAGAAGACATCCTTAAAAGAAAAAAAATATACAAAATGTATGCCGTCGGCTGTATATTTGCATATAAACATCACATTTCAGACTTGAAAATAAAAAAAATATAACACATTTAATAACCTTCTTCAGATGTCCACATCAAGATAATCTATTAGAAATTTATATTCCTGACCCGGGTATACAATTTCATTGTAATTTTTAATACAGTAATACTTTTTTCACTTCCCTGGGTTTTAATAATACTTTTTTTAATAGATAGATACTGTATTCTGTAAAAACTAAGAACTAAATTAATGTACTGAGAAGTATATGAAATAGTACCTGTATAAACGATATCTTGACTCTAAGATTGGGTTGAGTCAATAAGAGCAAGATCCCCGGATGTAACGACCACATTAAGCAGAAGGCAAAGCTTAGTATATTGCGTTGTGACCAGAAAGTTCTTGTATTATACATAATCTCGTACATTGTGATATGATTCATAAACGAGTAAAACAGCAGGTGTGAATAGTGCAGTAGTAAGGGAACTACCATTTGATTTTTATGGGGGGGGCTAGGATGAAAAATTTTGTCCTGCATTTTTCTGTCCTGCCTTTGTATTTTTCACTCTATTCGGTCCTGCCTTTTTTTTATTAGTTTATCCTGACTTTTTTTTTGCCAAGTTACTCATCCTGCCTTTTTTTTTACTCAAAACTCCTGTCCTACCTTTTTTTCAAATTTCATCCTAGCCCCCCCATCCCCCCCATAAAAATCAAATGGTAGCTCCCTAACTGTTTATCCTTCCGGGTCACACGAGTTAATCCCCCGTGTTTGGTAGCCAACTTAAGAATGGAAATGGGGAATATGTCAAAGAGACAACAACCCGACCAAAAATCAGATAACAGCCGAAGGCCACCAATGGATCTTCAATGGAGCGAGAAAATCCGACACCCGGAGGTGGGCCTCAGCTGGCCCTTAAATAAAAATGTGTACTAGTTCAGTGAAAATGGACGTCATACTAAACTCCAAAACATATAAATGAACTAAAATAAAAAAAAAACATACAAGACTAACAAAGGCCAGAAGCTCCTGACTTGGGACAGGCGCAAAAATGCGGCGGGGTTAGACATGTTTTGTGAGATCTCAAACCTCCCCCTATACCTCTAGTCAATGTAGAATAAAGAAGCACAGAGCAATAAGTACATGTTTCTCGACCTAAAGTTGTGTGTGTTGTGAACTGTTGTTTCTCTTTGATGGCTATTGTAAATCAACTTATAGTTTTTGATAGCGCACTTGTATATCTGTGTATCTTCGACCTTTTTTAGATTTATTTTTATTTCTTCGCTTTCATAAAGAAATTGGGTGAAAAAAAGAGTATGCTGCCACATAAGAGATTTATCGATTATTTTTTTTGTTGACTTACCGCACTGGATTTTCCAATTAAGTTCCAAAAGAAAGAAATTGTAACAAATCTGTAAATTCGGATAAACTCGTGAATCTGTGTTTATTCCTGGGCTTAAATGTGTGAAATAAAAAATCGGTTTACTACTTTCATATTTGTTAAATTCTTTTATTATGATTTGACAGATGTCGAATTCGCTGTATTTAGAAAAGGCAAACATTATATTATTGTATTGTGAATGATATTTGCTTATATTTTGAAACTGATTTTGACAGTTACAATGTTTTGATGTTTAATTCTAAATATAATGATTTAATAATCGTATCAAATAGGAACGTATACACCATGAAAACAAAACATTTGTAAGGCCGTTTTGTTTATATATTTAACGAGCTAAAGACCAAAAGAGATTTAAATTGATATGTCATCATCGTAGTCTCGATTACCCAGACGCATATATAAATATAGCGTCTGGGTTGATTAACCGGACTGGTCAGATATTTATAGGGGGCGTAACAAACAATTAAATATAGAACATCATCCATAAATAGCACTTCCGTTATCCCCAAAATAATAATAATAATAATAAAAAAATCAGTAAGCAGTATACTAGTATATCTATATGTGATTATTAAACTGACATTACATGTTCTTGTAGCTGACGCAGTGTTGCCCAACTTGACAGTGATATGCATTTTTAATAGAGACATGATGTCAAATAAATAAAACGGCTTCAAATACCATTTCACACGTATTCTTGTCTCAGTGGTTTATATACATTTATTTAAGATCTATAGTCAAAATAAAGCTTTACACCGTACTTATTCAGATTTCGGATATTTTTTTCGTTGATTAAAAATACTTATAAGTTTTAATCATTTTTTGCCATGATTTTTACCTAAAAAACTTTATCATTATACTACTTGTCTAGCTTAAATTTCTACAAAAACGATTATAAACTGTAACTAACGGTGACCTTTTTGACCTGAATTTTGTACATGTATATTTAAGAAAAAAAAAAGAAAAAAAAACTAAATTGGTAAATGCTCATACATGATCAGTCCAAGTTTTCCAATATAGAACGTGAATGTCTGTTCTAAATGTTATAGCACTCGTGTATAGAGGGTACCACACTCTCTGTGCGCTAAGAGCGGGGTTCGTAGGTGAACCGTTGTACTAAAGGCTAAATTTCTGCCCCTTTGCAGGTTGCAGTCATAATTTCTCCGACCTGTATCCCGGACGGCCTCTATTACAGGACCTTAGTTTTCTCGTTTGAATTGTTTTACAATTGTGATTTTGGAGCCTTTTATAGCTGACTATGCGGTATGGGCTTTGCTCATTGTTGAAGGCCGTACGGTGACCTATAACTGTTAATTTCTGTGTCATTTGGTCTCTTGTGGAGAGTTGTCTCATTTGAAATCATACCACATCTTCTTTTTTATACTTATTATATTTATTGTTAATTTCTGTTTGTCCTGAACATGTATGCAATATATTTGCAACTATTTACCACTAGACGATAACCAAGCAACCAGCAATCAATCTATTCTTATATTCTAGCACACCACGGTATTCTCTTATCTTCATACTATAAAACACCATTATTCTCTATTGTTCATATTATAGCACACCAGTTTTCTCTATTTTTTATATTGTAGCACACCATTAGTCTCTATTCTTTATTTTTTGGTCCATTTTTCTTAGTTTTTTTCCATTATTCTCATTTCTGAAACTCCTGTTATAATTTATGCTGTCCTTGTTATATATTCTTTCAGATATCTAATACACCTGAGACTATTATATGTGTTATAGCAGTCTCAGGATACACTTACCTTACAAAAAACACACATCAAGTTACTTCTATGTAAAGAAAACTAATACAAATACTAAGAATGCAATGTAAAAAAATCTCCTCAACAGCTATTACTTGCAGATCAGTGAGATCACACAATGAGCCAACTCAATTTTCATTTACAAAATAAACTGCAAACGACAGAATAGTATCGCCTAATCCTTTTGGGAAGAACAAATTTATGAATCAACCTTCACACAATACCACTGTGCCAATGTTACCCCGTGTCCATAGAGGAAATACAGAACTTAACCAGTCATTCATGAAACCCAATACTCTTTGAATGAATGTTTGTATCATGCACATGGAGAAGATGGAATAGGATTTATCCCATACTGCATGGTAACTTGTAAAAAAAAACAACAACACAAAAGTGTATTCTACTTCTCCAGAGGAATATCCTTATGATTGTTATTAATTAACTGGTTTATTGTTTCAGATCTTCATCATTTCTACTATAATTTTAATATCCATCATGTATTAGTATGCAAGAAAGGAGAGCTTCACAAGAACAATATCTTCTCTTGTAAACCTTTATATAAAAATAAGGAGATATGGTATGATTGTTAAAGAGGCAACAACCCACCAGAGTTAAAATGACGTGGATATAAGCAAATATAGTCACTGCACGGCCTTCAATATTGATAAACTCCATACCGTATAGTCAACTATAAAAGGGCGTGACATAAAAAATGTGATACAATTCAAACGAGAAAACTAACTGTTTAATTGTTCATATGATTTTTTATTTGTTAATACAAATCTTAATGCTCTAACATGTCTGACAACAATGTTGTTCTTGATTTTTGTTTTATAGACTTAATATACGTCTGTGTACCTTTTTTGGCTTTATGGTTGCTGTCAAAATAATGTTTACCCAACATTCTTGGTACTGTGATTTATTTATACTGATTTATACTTCAGTATTTTAAAAAAAACATCTTTGAATCTTATTTTTATAAAATTGAAGCTGTTTAAGCATGATACAATGAATATCCTGAACATTATATTTTTTTTTATTCTTGACATTTATCTGTGTCCAGAAATCATCATTGGTTTGTCTACAAAAGAAAATAAATATTAAAATCATATCAATTTTGGTCACAAACATAGCATATATATGAAAAAATAATTATTGTTTGAGAAAAAAACATCATACAAATATATTGTATAAATTAGTGTCCAGGGACAAGCTGAATCCCGCCTCCGGAAGGGTGATTTTCTCACTGCATTGAAGACCCATTGCATGGAGGCATTGAGCTGTTTCCTGCTCTTTGGTCTGGTTGGTGTCTCTTTGACAGTCCCTGTTTCTATTCTCTATCCAAACCATGCATGCGTTTTTCTCATTGTTGAAGGCAACACAGTTGCCTATAATTGCTCAAATCCACTTCATTTGAACTTGGGTGGATAGTTGTTCCATTGGCATTCATACCGCATCTCCTTATTTTGCACAACAACGTGTCCCATTTCTAATCTGTATTGTTTAAGCAAAGTGCATATGTTTGTTTTTTTTAAATCGAGTATAGAACATTTTGTTCGTTTGGTGTATATACAAAATGGCATCTTCTAGATACATATTGTCTGTTTATCTTCTACTTATGGTTTTGGATTGCGTTCCCTCCTTTGAATATGTACATCATTGTGAATCTCTCCTCTCCCCCATTCTTTAACACATATCAAGATGTAAACTCCATTATACAGATAGATACAACAATCTAATCTTGGATGAAGGTCATATTTCGACGTCCTAGCCCCTTTTCATCAAATATTTATAAAGTTAA